TCTGCCATCGGGAGCCACTTCTGGAACGCCGCCAATGCATCGCTCTTCTTGGCCAAAGGGTAGGCCCAGACGAACCGCGTCTTGCGATCTTTCAGCACCAAGAAGTAGCGGCTGCCATCCTTAGCTGCTTCACGGAAAGGGCCACACAGGTCAGCATGCACCACCCCGAGCAACTCATCCTCCTCCTCTCCCACAGAAGGAAAGGTATGACGAGTGATCTTTCCCCCAACACAGGAGACACAAGGTATGCCTGACTTGCCCCCCTTCTCCAAATCCAAGCCCTTCACTGACCCGTGAGCCGCTGTGCGCTCGATGGCATCAATACCAACGTGTGCCATACGCGCATGCCACAGGTCCCCCTTAGACCGCACGCCCGTCGCCAAGGTACGAAGTGCCACCGTTTCGCCTTCCTGCTGCTGCGTCGAACACGGCTGGAAGTTCGTGCAGAGAACACGCCCCTTGAACTCCGCACGACCAAGGAGCGATCCATCTGGTGCCCGCAGCAAAGTCACATCCCCGGCATCCAGCAGCTGCACACCACTATCACGCAGCTGCCCAGCAGAGAGAAGACTCGCCTGCACTCCTGGTACGTACAGCACGTCCGGCACCAAGACACGCCTGCCCCCCTCTCCAAGAAGAGCGACTGTGCCCCGCCCCTGCACCTCCTGAAGAGCGCCGTTGAAGCCGGTAACCTGTTTAATACTGCCGCCGCTGCTCATCTCCACAAAGGCAGAACGATCTCCCATGAGATGGTGGGAGCATCCGCTATCAAGCAGCACGACGCTCGGGTTCGCCTTCACAGCAGCTGCAACAGCCTGTAAGCCCTCCCCGGCCTCAGGCTCTAGCACAACGAGAGGAGTCTGCTCCACAACGGGCTTCACCATCGCACATGATGACTGCCCGCTCCCCTTAGAGCCATCACCCCCCTTTCCGCTGCTACCTCCATAACCCTCTCCACTAGTGTCTGCCTCCTTATCTGCCCGCTGCTGACAGTACTTAGCAACATGCCCTGTCTGTCCACACACACAGCACTTCCTCTTGAAGCCCCCTTTCCCCCCCTTCGGCTGGCCATCCTTACCCCCTTTCCACTTCTCCCCTCCCCCACCAACCCCACCCCCAGTCTTAGGCTGCTGCTGCTGTGCCGTAGTGGGAGGGGAAGGGAATGAAGTCTGCTGGAATTGGGGCTTACCCTTCTTGGTAAAGACCTGGTTAGCCTGGGGAAGGAATTGGTCCTTTCGTCCCTCCGCCGCCAGCGTACATTCCTCCTCGATGATGTAGCTAGCGAGGGTGTCCTCGTCCAACTCCTTGCGCACCTGCGGCAACTTCAGCATCCTGCGTAAGAGGTTGTACTGCTGCGGCAACCCCTTCACAACGTGAGTAATGTACGACGCCTGCGAGTAATCTACGCCGGCCATCCTCAGGTTCACTAGGATCTGCTGCGCACGGTTGCAATAGGACGTAGCGGACTCATGCTCTCCCATCTCGAGGTTAGTGAGCGCCTGCTCTAGCTGACCTATGTACAGGTCGTCCTTCGCCATATACGTGCGCATGATAAACTGCCATGCCTGAAAGCCGGCATCTACCTTGAAGCGGCACGCCTTAAGGGCGATCTGTACGGTTGGGGAGCAGCATCGGGAAATGGTGGTGAACGTTAGCAACTGCATCGCGCGGAACTGAGAGAGATGTGCAAGTGCACGCGCTGGTGGAATGGGAGTGGTGCCATCTATGAATCGCTTTAACTGAGCGATCTCAAGCTGCGGCTCGATCGATTCTGTCCACGTCGACAGGTCGTGACGTCCTTCTAATGGCCTAGGGACGACGATCTTGTCTGGAGTGAATTTGAAGAAGCCATAGTTGGGGGCTATTCCCTCGTCCCTCGACATCGATCCAATCGGGGTAACGCCCGGCATAGCCTCACTATCGTACTCTTCCGCATTTCCTCCTCCAGCAACGCTCCGCCGTCCTACATTCGCATGCTCTCGTGACGCTGCTGCACGATGAACACGCTCCTGTACACCGCCGACGCTAGCCGTACTAAACCGAGTTGGTCCTCGCAAGACCCCACGCGACATCAACCCATCAAGCTCCTCGTCATCGCTATTTCCGCCATCGCCAAGCATATCCCACGCACTAGTACCTCCCGCAGCTTGCTCAACATTCTCTACACGTGGCGAGGGATGGTCGTGACGCTGACGAGAGCGTAATCCATCCATCATGAGCTCGTATTCTAGATCACTAAGCTCACCACGAGAATGACGGGCCTCGAGATCCTCCTCTAGTGCGCGAAGACTACCGGCCTCCACGTTCGTCTCCTCCGTACTCATCCTCTACGACGTCTCTACAAGGTACCACAAATTAAAATAAATTGTCCCTTCCTTGAATCCCTCGTCTCGGGGTCACCTCACAAGGGTCCTCAGACGAATGGTAATAAATTACCAAGCGCCCTATCCTTGGGTCCGAGAACGTAACTGGAGGGAAATTAAGAGAGGTTCAACTTAAATTAATGAGCGCCCTTCACTAACGCCGCACGCCAAGGCGAGTATACTAACGAACGTCGACGGAAATCTATGCGTGTTCGTTCCACGCTCACCGCACCATGAAGGAATATATTAGAGAGCGTAGCGATAGCGAGAGAGTCTCTGCTATGGGAATGATGTTGCGCCAGCAACTTGGTAGAGTTTTGGTAGCGTTTGCCTCTAAGGACTTTGTGAGAATTGAAGTAGCATTTGGGCCAAGTAGAATTGCAATATCAATTATCAAACACACAAGCAAACACAAACATATATAGGCAAGCAAGAGTTGCACAATTGTTGCGTGGCGCTGCGAGTAACCCAACCCACACGAAAGTGCTGTGCAGGTGGGTGAACGCGCCCCGCACATTTCCAACCCAACTCGGCACCGGAATGTCTCACCGTGCACGCTACTCCTGCCAACACAGCAAGTGAGCAGCGTGCCTCACAAGCAAGGCACCTACGACCCCCAAGACTCGTCATTCCTAGCACCGATTCCGCCGAGTTCGCTGCAGTAGCTCACAGTCACCCGTAGTCACTAATGACCGCCACCGAACTCGTGCGTCGGTGCCGAGTAGACTCAGTCGTTAGGCGCCGACCTGCCAAGTCAAAGGTCATCGAGGGCCCTTGCTGTCGTAGGGCCCTCTAACATTCCGTCCTATCGAAATCACGTCACAGTTCTGTCCCGTACGTGACGATCACGCCTCTGTCAACCGCTCGACGCCACTATTCAGTCCGTTCCAGTTTCGTAGAATTCATTCATTGTTTCTCTGGCGAATTCTGCGCTCTGACGTTTTCTCCTCGTTTCAGTCACCTCCTTCTCCCATGTTTCTTATACAAGCGGTCAAGCACCCTTTGGTCTCTTCGTCTTTCCTCTTATTCCAAAATGAGCTCTCAGCAGCCGAAATTTACGCACCGGAGTTTTGGGAGCGTAACACCCTCATTAGAAGCACATTCGACAGAAGCTCTAGCAGGTTCACTAGATAAAACGTGTGCTGCTGTTCGTTATCCAAGGCCCACGTCAGCAAGCTCAAGCCAGTCTGTACATCCGCCTGACGCAGCCATGTCATCCGAGTCAGCAAGCCAGCAGTACACGTCATCAGTACTGACGTCAGCACCAGCGGCTGAATTAAGGTCTACTGTAGCCGTTGCTCGTCACGCCAGGTTTACATCGCCCAACGGAACCCCACTCCGCTCTCCTCCGTCACATCCGCTACAGTCACACCCAACTTCGGATGACCACTCTTCCCTGTCACTCCCCCACTCGCGAGAATCCCTACAATCCCCGCTATTAACACGTCCCGTTGTAGCACGCCCCATCCGGCGTCACTTGTCCGCGCATAATCTCCTGAACGAAGCGGATTCTCACACCATCCACCTCCCCACACACAACTTCCTCCTCTCCCTCCTCACTTTCCTCCTCCTGGCATACCTCACCTTCCGCGAAACCCTCTTCTTCTACCCTCCATGGTCCTGCTCGTCCTTCCTTCGCCTCATTCCCCTCTCTTCTCCCTCACTCCCTTCCTCGCACTCCTCCTCTCCTTACTCGCCCCCTTACCTCTCCTCTTAGGCTCCCTATGCCTCCTCTCCCACCTCTCAGCCTCTGCTCTCCGCGCTTTAACGCTGATTCTCTTGTTGATATGCTTATACGCGACTATCGAAACTATTATGGCGCAGCAACCACAGCCAATTCAGGTCCAAGCGGACCACCAGGCCCTTACCAGTCTCCGAACCCTCTCCAGCCCCCAAAGCATCTCAAGTTCTACCGCTCAGCACCGTTTTAAACCACTCTTCCATCACATACATCTCTTTAACTCCCAGTCTCCTCACAAATTAGGCATTTCCCCTGACGAACGGCTACTTGCCCTCTTCATCTCCCTCCTAGCTGGTTCTATAGGACTGATTCTCCTCTTCCTGCTCCTCATCCCCTCATCTCCGCCCTCCCCTCTCCTTTCCTCTCCTCGCTCCCACCATCCAAGTCACTTCTCTCTCGCATCCTCAGCCCTCCGATCGACTGGGCTTCTCCCATCCAGAGCCGTCCGATTTCTGCTGCTGCTGCCCCCCCTGCTGTCTGTGGCAGCTCTTTTGTTCCTCCTGCCCTGGTTTCTTGCGGCCATCCGATTATTCGTTGTCTGCCCGAGTGCAGGATTTCAACTGCCCGGTCAAACCTTTGGTTCCAGTTCCATGTGGCAAGGCTCGGAGGTCCAGCCTGGTTTGGAAACATCAGGCTCGGCGGTTCCAGACGTGAAGGCGACTGGCTTGGCGGTGCATAGTGCAGGAAGGCCAGCTTCGGCAGAATCAGGCGGAGGTCCGGCGGCCGGTTCCGTGTCAGGTCCGGTTGCACAGTGCTGTGCGGAATGGAGGGTGGCGCTAGCGCCCTGGGGTGTGACTAAAGGCGAGGAGGTTATAGTGGGGTCTGGCGTGCTGTGGCTGGCGTGTGTTGGTCTGCTGCTGCTGTGGCTGCTGGTCTCTGCGTTTGTCGCTCTCTATATGCACCTCCCGATAGCAGTAGGGGAAGGGGAGGTTGTGGGGGGGCGAGGGGGAGTGAGGGAGGGGAGTGAGGAGAGTAGTGGGAGTGAGGGTGGTGAGGAGGAGATTGTAGATGTTTGTGACTCTGTGAGGGAGTGGGGAGAAGAGGGGCGATTTGAACAGGGGCAACTCGAAGAGGGGCGGCTGGAAGGGAAAAGTGAGGGGAACATAGGGGGGAAGGGGAAGGAAGTGGGGGGAAGCGAGAGGGAGCAGGGGGAAGAGGGTCACTTCGAAGCTACTGTCGCTGGTAAAGGGGCGATGGTTCAGGTGCAAGGGGGGTGTCATCATGGGGAAGGGCAGCGAGAGCGGCAGGAGGGAGAGGAAGGGAGGAAATCGGAGGAAAGCGAAAAAGGCAAGGCGGAGGGAGAGGGGGAGAGAGAGGTGGCGGAAGGAGGGGAGGGACAGGCAGAGCAGGACAGAGAGGAATGTGAGCAAGGCGTTGTGCGGCCAAAGGAGGTGGAACCACAGCCGCAGGGGGAAATCAAACAGTATGAACAGCAGGCAGAAGCAGCAGCAGCAGCGGCAGTTTTGGCAGCAGAAGCAGCAACAGCACCACCAGCATTGGCAGTTGCAGCAGCAGTGCCAGCAGCACCAGGAACTAACCAATCCGTAGATACTTGCAAGGGGGTTTTATCAGGAAGTGGAGAGGTAGGTGTTGCCTCGGGAGTAGAAGCTGCTTCGGGAGAACCAGCCGTTTCAGGAGAACGTGCGGTTCCAGGAGACCAAGCCACCGTAGGTTCGGAAGAAGAAGCTACGCTAGGTTCGGAAGCTGTATTAGGAGTAGCGGGGAGGCGAAGCTTATCCAGAGGTCTGTCCAGGGGGTACGTGCCGGGATCTCGTCCACATCAGCGGCTGATTCTGGGATCGGAGGACGAGATGCTGACGTGGCATGCGCAGTGGCAACTGCTGCAAAGCTCTTTCAGGTGATCCTTTGAGTCGGTCGCAAACAACAGCTGCTGCTAAAACTCATGCTACTTGCTTTCCGCCTTCATCCTCTTACATTGCCCTCTCACATTGCCCTCTTACATTGCCCTCTCACATTGCCCTCTCACATTGCCCTCTCACATTGCCCTCTCACATTGCCCTCTCACATTGCCCTCTCACATTGCCCTCTCACATTGCCCTCTCACATTGCCCTCTCACATTGCCCTTTTACATTGCCCTCACGTTGCCCTCTCTTGCCCTCTCACGTTGCCCTGTCAAAGTGCCCCCTCACGCTGTTCCTTGTGGTTCTGAACATCCAAAGTCCCCCACTTCCCTCTCCCCCCTTCCCTCTCCCTTCATCCCCTCGATCGCAGAGAACAGCTGCTAGTAGTAGAACTCACGCCACTTGCATGTCGCCTTCATCCTCTCACATGCCCTCTCACATGCCCTCTCACACCTGTCCTCGTAGTTCTGAAACACCCAAAGTCCCCTCCTTCCCTCTGCCCTCTCCCGTCATCCCCTCGATCGCAGAGAACAGCTGCTAGTAGAACTCACGTCGCTTGCATGTCGCCTTCATCCGCTTGCATTTCCAATTAACATTGCTCCTCGTAGTTCTGAAACGTGTAGATTTTCTCTCCCCTCTGTTATCATCCCCACCTCTCAGGCTCGCCTCTCACAACTTTGATGCAGCCTTCTTCCCCTCGCTCCTAATCGTCTCAGCCATCGCATCCACTCTCCTGGCCGTCGCCTTTGCGGTGGCGCCTCTCTTTGAGTTTACTGATTTCAGCACTCCCGTGGTGCTCGGGGTGGTTACCGCCATTCACCTCGACTTCGCCCTGCTCCTCCTCACCATGTGAGACCCTCACCAAACTCTTATGTGTGTCCATGCATACACCATCTGGCCTCCTCTCACCTCCCTCCCTTCTCAGCAACCCTTCTCCTCCCGTCCCTCGCTCTCTCACGACTTTTCTCTTCTTTCCCCATTCCCCCTTCCCACCTGCAGAGTGCTCCTATCGGTGTCCGTGCAGACCCCATCGCTTCTCCTCCCCTCTCTCTCCATGACCCTCCGTCTTCTCCTCCGCTACTCCCACTCCTATCTCGCCCTCAACTTTGGCCCTGGAAGTACTCTCCTCCCTCACTCCTAGCCTCCCAAGGGCGCTCCCCTCTTTCACACCTCCCGTCTTCGTCACGTCCCCTCTCCTCACCTCACTTCCGCTCTGTCTCATACCCTGTCTCTCCTTACCCCCTCCACCCCCCCCGCCCTCCCTCTTCTCTTTCCCCCCTACAGAGTGCTCTTATCAGTATCTGTGCAGACTCCATCGCCCCTCCTCCCCTCTCTCTCCATGACCCTCCGTCTGCTGCGCCGCTACTCCCACGCCTATCTCGCCCTCAACTTTGGCCTGATAGGGGTGCTTTCCAGCCTCGCAGCAGCATGCTTCCTACTCACTGGAATCATCCAAAACGCCATGCTGCATAACCTCCTGCGCGCTGCAATCCCATCGTCTGTACCAACTACACCGTTTACACCCGTGGTGACAAATATCGACGCATCGCCGTCATTAACAACACTGTACACCACCACATCGCTTGTTCCTCCTTTCTCGCAGCCAAATCCTCGATTGCTCATGCCGTCAATGCCCCTAATCTCAATTCTCCCTTACCTCTCACTTCAATCCCCACCTGACGAATTCGCGTCAATCCACAGCTCACATTCAGCCTATAGAACTTTACTCTCCACGGATCTTCAATCAGCCGTGCTGCTTATCCTAGCCCTCCCCACTTCAGCGCTCATTTTAGCGTGCCTCTTCTCTGCAGTGGTGCTGCATGCAGTAGCATCCACTCTCTTTGTCTCTCTTGCTCTCCATCAAATGGGCTCCATTCGCCTTCCCAGAGCACTCTAACCCACATGATTGCCCTAACCAGCCATCTTACTGCAACCCTGCCAACCTCTCTGCCACATGCAGTAGCATCCACTCTCTTTGTCTCCCTTGCTCTCCATCAAATGGGCTCCATTCGCCTCCCCAGACCCAGAGCCTTCTAACCGACATGCTCGCCCTAACCAGCTATTTTCACTCTCGCCCTCCCCGACCTAATGGTGCTGCACGCTGTAGCATCCACTCTCTTTGTCTCCCTCGCTCTCCATCAAATGGGCTCCATTCGCCTTCCCAGGGCCTTCTAGCCTCTAAGCCACAGCTACGCTTTAACCCACAAGTTCGCTCTAACCCACAGGTTCGCTTGAACCTGCTATAACTTACAGGCCAAGTCTAACCCACTAAGTCAGTCTAACCTGCAGAATCGCTCTAATTATCAGGCTCACTCTAATCAGCTCGCTATTGTAGCCCTGCCGAGCTCCACACCATTCTAGCTTGCATCTTCTCTGCAGTGGTGCTACATGCTGTAGCATCAACTCTTGTTGTCTCCCGTGCACTTCATTAAATGGGCTCCATTCGCCCCCCACACTCCCAGAGCATTACAATACAAAGTTTCACTTGGCATTCCCTGTTTGATTTGTAAATACGTATGCACTGGGTTGGGGGGGAGTACGTCTGAATATGTGCTGAATTAGTGTACATATTCTTTTTGTTAGCAAATATTGGAACTTTTGCACAATAAGCGGTATCAATACACGTTAAGCTTTTCTGTACAGTAAAACGCCAATGACTGTTCGACGACGACTCTTCATTTTTGCGAAAACCTTCGCCTGGAACATTCTACTCGATCTCCTTCCGTTACGTACATTCGGACTAGTTACGTACCGCGGGTTACATCTGAAAGTTCTAGATTAGAAGGTTCGTCATCGCACGACGGTCGCTTCTTCTGACGGAAATCGGTTTCGGCCATAGCGCTCCTTCGCTTGTCGCTATCTGTTCTTTTCTGTCAGAATCTTTCAAAATAGGGGTCGAAACACCCACCAATTTCATTTAGTTCGTTATTAGCTTCCCGTGAATTTTACAGTTACCGACGCTTGTATCACTGTGCACTTTAGACTGTATGGAGGACAGAGGTAGGACCGGTTTCCGCGAAGGCGGCTGGGGTGCGGAGCAGGGACCTATGGATGACGTCAGGGGGTCTAACCCTAACGTGATGGGGAACGGCGGAAGCTTTTCCGCCAGAGGGGGAAATGGAGAGGAAGGGGGAGCGGAAGCGGGGGGGTCCGATAAAGGCGCGGGAAGGGCGGCGGAAAGGGAGGAGGGGAAGGATCGAGCTTGGGGGAATGGCCAGGGGGAAGGCGCGGGGGAGGACGAGCGGAAGAGAAAAGGGGGAGCGGGGGAAGAGGACGACAGGGGTTTCGGAAGGGTTTGGGGGGAGCCTGGGAGATATGGGTGGGGCGGGGGGCGGAGGGATGGCGGGTTTGGGGACGGGAGTTTTGACGGCAGCGGGGGTTTTGGCGGAAGAGGAGGGGGGGACGCGGGGGGAGGCGCGCATGGGGGGAGAGGCGGGATGGGGCGCGGGGGAATGGGCGGGGAGATGGGGCCGATGGGAATGGGGGGGATGGGTATGGGGCATATGGGGGGACCGATGGGGCCAGGTATGGGGGGCATGGGGGGAGGCATGGGCGGAGGGGGGATGGGTGGCGGGGGGATGGGGGGAGGCATGGGGATGGGTATGGGAATGGGCATGGGGCATATGGGCATGGGGATGGGGAATATGGGGGGAGCGGGCGGAATGGGAGGCATGGGGGGAATGGGAGGGATGGGGAACATGGGGGGAGGAATGCCTATGGGGGGAGGGGGCCCGCCTATGGGCGCAGGGCGTCCCCCTATGGGCGGTGACGGCATACCCATGAGCGGAAGCGGAATGGGCGGAGGCGGAATGGGCGGAGGGGGAATGGGCGGAGGGGGGATGGGCGGAGGCGGAATGGGCGGAGGGGGGATGGGCGGAGGGGGAATGCCCATGGGCGGAGGGCCAGGAATGCAGATGGGGGGAGGTCCGGGCGGAATGGGGGGACGGGGAATGCGCATGGGTCCGCCTGGGGGAATGCCCATGGGCGGAGGGGGGCCGGGGCCGGGGCCGGGGGCAGGAGGCGGGGGAGGCGGAGGCGGAGGGGGAGGCGGAAGCGGAGGGGGAGGCGGAGGGGGAGGCGGAGGCGGAGGGCCAGGGGGAGGGGAAAACCGCCAGATGGGCGCGGGAGGGCCTGGAGGCCCGGCCATGGGCGGAGGGATGGCGGGAGGCATGGGGGGGGGAATGGGGGGAGGAATGGGGGGAAGGATGGGCGGGGGAGGCATGGGGGGAAGGGGGGGCATGGTAACGCCTGGGGGGCGCATGGGGTATGTGGCAACGCGGGGGAAGTCAAGGGGGGCGCAGAACGACTATTCGCAACACTTTGTGGACACGGGATACAGGCCCCAGAACTTCATACGCGATATGGACGTCTCTGATAGGTTTGAGGAGTATCCGAAGCTGAAGGAGCTTATAACGAGGAAGGATCGCATCGTGGCTGATGCGACAACGCCTCCTGTGTACCTTCAGATGGATTTGAAACAGGTAACCCGGTTACCAGCTCTAGTGTTGCACCAAACAGGTGTGTTCATAGATCGTGGCTGATGTGACCACGCCTCCTGTGTACCTTCAGATGGATTTGAAACAGGTAACCGGGTTACCAGATCGGATGTACACACCACACCACACCCACCACACCTCCCCACCACACCACACCCACCACACCTCCCCACCACACCTCCCCACACACGCACCTGCACCCACACCCACACCCCCGCAGGTCGAGTTGACTCCTGGGATATTTGGTATCACGTTTGTCGTCATTTTGATTGATCCCCCCTGGGAGGAGTATGTGCGTGCATCCCCTCATGCCCCCGCGCATCCTCCCCCCATGCTCCCCCCCATGCCCCCCCCCCATGCTCCCCCCATGATTCCCCCCATGCTTCCCCCCATGCTCCCCCCCATGCCCCCCCCCCATGCTCCCCCCCATGCTCCCCCCCATGCTCCTCCCATGCTCCCCCCCATGCTCCCCCCCATGCTCCTCCCCATGCTCCCGCCCATGCCTCCGCCCGTCGTTCTCCCCAGGTCGAGTTGACCCCGGAAATATTTGGCACTAAGTTTGATGTCATTTTGATTGATCCCCCCTGGGAGGAATATTTGATGTCAGGATGCGCGGAGGCATAAAGAAATATTTGGCACGGGGAGGAATATGTTCATTCCTTTATGCCTCCGCGCATCCTTCCCCATTCCTCCGCCCCATACTCCCCCCCGTGCCTCCGTCTCATCCTTCCCTCATCCATCCTTCCCACCAGGTCGAGTTGACTCCTGAGATATTCGGTACCAAGTTTGATGTCATTCTGATCGACCCCCCTTGGGAGGAGTATGTTAGGAGGGCACCGGGCATGGGGGACGAGATCGAGTGGTGGACGCCGCAAGAGATCATGGCGCTGCGGATTGAGGTATGAACTACCAGGGAAGGTATGGCGTGGGAGGGTAGGATCGGTCGAAGGTACTGCTGGTAGGTTGGGAGGAGTATGTGCGGCAGGCCCCGGGCATGGGGGATGGGATAGAGTGGTGGACGCCCCAAGAGATCATGGCTCTGAGAATTGAGGTATGCATGATTCAGGGGAGGAATTGCTAGCAGCACAGGGGTGGATTGGGAGAGTAGGTTGGTTGGGAGGAGTATGTGCGGCGAGCACATTGGTGACTTTTGAGTCGACTCAAAAGTCACCTCAGCACAGGGGTGGATTGGGAGAGTAGGTTGGGAGGAGTATGTGAGGCGAGCGCCAGGCATGGGGGATGAGATTGAGTGGTGGACGCCGCAAGAGATAATGGCTTTGAGAATCGAGGTATGAACCACCAGGGAGGGTATGACCTGGGAGGGTAGGTAGGAACGGTTAAGGTGCTGCGAGTAGGTTGGGAGGAGTATGTGCGGCGGGCACCGGGCATGGGGGATGAGATTGAGTGGTGGACGCTGCAAGAGATAATGGCGCTGAGAATTGAGGTAGAAACCACCAGGAGATTATCTGGTGCTGCTGGTAGGCTGGGAGGAGTATGTGCGGCGGGCACTAGGATGGGGGACGAGATCAAGTGGTGGACGCCCCAAGAAATCATGGCGCTGAGAATCGAGGTATGCGCATTGGAGGTATGACGTGGGAGGGTAGGAACGGGAAAGGTACTGCGAGTAGGAGCAACAAGCTCCGAAAGATAGAAAGAGGCGAAGACATGTAGGGAGATGACTTTTGAGTCGACTCAAATGACGTGGGAGGGTAGGAACGGGTAAGGTACTGCGAGTAGGAGCAACAAGCTTGGAAAGATAGAAAGAGGCGAAGCCATGTAGGGAGATGACTTTTGAGTCGACTCAAATGACGTGGGAGGGTAGGAACGGGTAAGTTACTGCGAGTAGGAGCAACAAGCTCCGAAAGATAGAAAGAGGCGAAGACATGTAGGGAGATTACTTTTGAGTCGAATCAAATGACGTGGGAGGGTAGGAACGGGTAAGGTACTGCGAGTAGGAGCAACAAGCTCGGAAAGATAGAAAGAGGCGAAGACATGTAGGGAGATGACTTTTGAGTCGACTCAAATGACGTGGGAGGGTAGGAACGGGTAAGGTACTGCGAGTAGGAGCAACAAGCTCCGAAAGATAGAAAGAGGCGAAGACATGTAGGGAGATGACTTTTGAGTCGACTCAAATGACGTGGGAGGGTAGGAACGGGTAAGGTACTGCGAGTAGGAGCAACAAGCTCGGAAAGTTAGAAAGAGGCGAAGACATGTAGGGAGATGACTTTTGAGTCGACTCAAATGACGTGGGAGGGTAGGAACGGGTAAGGTACTGCGAGTAGGAGCAACAAGCTTGGAAAGATAGAAAGAGGCGAAGCCATGTAGGGAGATGACTTTTGAGTCGACTCAAATGACGTGGGAGGGTAGGAACGGGTAAGGTACTGCGAGTAGGAGCAACAAGCTCCGAAAGATAGAAAGAGGCGAAGACATGTAGGGAGATGACTTTTGAGTCGACTCAAATGACGTGGGAGGGTAGGAACGGGTAAGGTACTGCGAGTAGGAGCAACAAGCTCCGAAAGATAGAAAGAGGCGAAGACATGTAGGGAAAGGCCACGTCTTTGCGGTGCCTTTTGAGGCGCCTCAAAAGGCCATGTCTTTGTGGTGCCTTTGCCTTTGCCTACATCTTCACGTTCTCCTTGTCTGCCTGCTTCTTTCGCCCCCACACCCCTCCCGTTCCCCTTCCCCCAGGCCATAGCCGACACGCCTTCTTTCGTCTTCCTGTGGGTGGGGGACGCTGAGGGCCTGGAGTATGGGCGCATGTGCCTCAAGAAGGTACGCCCTTCCGCACCCCTCCCTCCCTGCGCATATCACCCTTCACCTGCGCTGCCCTATCGGCTCCCCCTCTTGTCTTCCTGTGGGTGGGGGACGCTGAGGGCCTCGAGTATGGGCGCATGTGCCTCAAGAAGGTACGCCCTTCCGCACCCCTCCCTCCCTGCGCATATCACCCTTCACCTGCGCTGCCCTATCGGCTCCCCCTCTTGTCTTCCTGTGGGTGGGGGACGCTGAGGGCCTCGAGTATGGGCGCATGTGCCTCAAGAAGGTACGCCCTTCCGCACCCCTCCCTCCCTGCGCATATCACCCTTCACCTGCGCTGCCCTATCGGCTCCCCCTCTTGTCTTCCTGTGGGTGGGGGACGCTGAGGGCCTCGAGTATGGGCGCATGTGCCTCAAGAAGGTACGCCCTTCCGCACCCCTCCCTCCCTGCGCATATCACCCTTCACCTGCGCTGCCCTATCGGCCCCCCCTCTTGTCTTCCTGTGGGTGGGGGACGCTGAGGGCCTCGAGTATGGGCGCATGTGCCTCAAGAAGGTGAGAAATGGAAGAAAAAGTGGGGGTGAATATGGGCGCATGTGCCTCAAGAAGGTGAGAAATGGAAGAAAAAGTGGGGGTGAATATGGGCGCATGTGCCTCAAGAAGGTGAGAAATGGAAGAAAAAGTGGGGGTGAATAAATAAAGCCCTTTTGCTCCTCTTCTTGCCAGGGTTGGAGTCTCTCTTGCATTCTTGCCACGCGTATATGGAGCAAGGAGGTGTGCCTCTCTTCTTTTCCTCGTCCTGCGCTCCTCGCATGTGCTCCTCGCATGTGCTGGGTTGATGTCATGGGTCCTCCTACTTCTCCTCTTGCACCCTGTCATGCCTCTTCCCTCCTTTCCCCTCTCGCTTCCTCACATGCAGTGGGATTTTCGTCACTGTGAGGACATTTGCTGGGTGAAAAGAAACCGGGAGGAAGAGGACATTTACAGTTATTGCCAGCTTTATTCCCTAATGTGGACTCCTCTTTCCCTCTTTCTCTCTCATCCTCCTCCTCCCCCCTCTCTCCCCTTCTCACACACTCACAGTGGGGTTTTCGTCGCTGCGAAGACATATGTTGGGTGAAGACCAATAGGGAGAAGCCGGATAGCCCCTGGGGGCACACGTTTGCCAAGCCAATGTACCCTCATCTCATTCCCCCAGGGGCTACATAGCCTCCAGGGAAGCCAATGTACTCTTCTTTCATTCCCTCTCTCATCTTCCTCCTCCCCCCTCCCCCTCTCCCTGACACACAGTGGGGATTTCGCCGCTGTGAGGACATCTGTTGGGTGAAGACCAACCGGGAGAAGCCGGATAGCCCCTGGGGGCACACGTCTGAGACGCTGTTCCAACACTCCAAGGTGCAGTGCGGTGTCCCGTGTTGCGGTGCGGTATATCGGCGTGGCATGGTGCATTGTGGTTCAGTGTGGTGTGGGATGCGGATTTTTGCAATGCATGTGATTGGTGGAGATTTTGGACAATGCCAATAGTTTTGCTACTATCTGATATGCGCCGTATTCCACTGGTGGACTATCGTGCATAGTGCTTACATACCACCAGTATAATACCTTAAAGCCCACCAGCATTACCGTTTGCCCCTGCTGTTCAGCGAGCACAGCACCTTTCTGCCCCTCCCTGCCGCTCTAGGAGCACTGTCTGATGGGCATCAGAGGCGCGGTCAGGAGGAGTACGGATGGCGACATCATTCCGATGTGCTTATTCCAACCTCTTTCAACCACTCTTTCAACCTTCCAACCTCCTAACCTTCCGATATCTCAACTCCTGCAGGAGCACTGTCTGATGGGCATCAGAGGCACTGTGAGGAGGAGTACAGATGGGCACTCCATTCCCGCTAACACTTACACACACGTGCTCACACCATCCTGTGCCCCTCTTTTCCCTCCATCTCCCGTCCTTCCCTCTCCTCCCCCCAGGAGCACTGTCAGATGGGCATCAGAGGCACAGGGAGGCGGAGCACAGACGGCCATGTTATTCTCGGCAGCATTCAGATATGCTTATTTCGACCTTCTCCTCCTGTGCCCACCCTTTTCCCCGGCTCCTCTTCTCTCTCCTCCCCCCAGGAGCACTGTCTGATGGGCATCAGGGGGACAGTCAGGAGGAGCACAGACGGCCATGTCATTCACGCAAACATTGACACTGATGTGCTTATATCGGAGCAGCCTCCCTTCGGTAGGTGATTGTAGCGAATGTGCTTATACAGGGACAGCCTCCTTTTGTAGCTCTGTGCTTCCAATCTGTCTCATCCCCTGTTCACCCCTCTCAACTGCTTCCGAACACTCGCAATTGTTTCCAACCGCACTCAACCCTCTGAACCGCTCTTAAACCGCGCGGGTTCTTTCGTCTGCTATTCCCTCATCGAGCACTTTCTCTCTATCTGTTTCCTCCCTTCTTCACCGCTTTCAGCCACTCTTAACCGCCCTCAACCTCCCTCAACTTCTCTCAACTGCTCTCCACCACTCTCAACCACACCTGTTTTTCTTTGCAGGGAGCACGGAGAAGCCTGAGGAGCTCTACTCCCTCATCGAGCACTTTGCTCTCGGGCGGCGACGCATCGAATTGTTTGGCGCTGACCACAATATCCGGGCAGGCTGGCTGACCGTGGGGAAATCTCTCACCTCCTCAAATTTCAACCCTCAGGTGATTGGTCACGGCCAGATTCTTACTTATCCTTTCCCCTACTCCCCCCTCCCCCCCACTCTTCGACTTTAATTTTGTCTTATGCTCTTTTCCCTGTGCTGAATATCATGCTTTTCTTCATGCTGTTGTTTTCTCCGTGTGTGCATTTATGCTGTTTTCGTTGCATTTATAAATGTAACGTATAGCCGACCACTCAAGCTGCTCGTGCAACGTCCTCAACATTCTCCATTTTTTAGATGTAATTAACCACACCACACCCCTTCCGTTCCGGCTTGGTATGTGTTTCCTACCAGACCTACTGCAAGCTCTTTGCCGGACCTGACGGGAAGGTTTGGCAAGGAACAGGCCGAGGCAACCCCCCACCTGGAGCGCCGCACCTGCTGGTTACCACGCCTGAGATCGAGGCTCTCCGACCCAAGTCTCCGCCGAACCGCCAGCAGCACGGGAACCAACCCCAGGCCCCGATTCAGCCGCCAAATCAATTTCAGCCTGCGGGCAATATGGGAAATAACCCGCCTTTTGGAGGACCGGGGGGTCATGCTGGGCCAGGGATGGCAAATAATGGTCCAAGTGGAGGTTCGTTTGGTGCTGGTTCGGGCCCAGGTCAGATGCATGAAGGGCAGGGTGGGGGAGGTGGGAAAAGAACGCCTCCTGTCCCACCAAACTTTCAAAATTGAGATTCAAAATATCCTGATTTAGTTTTCCTTAGGTTGTTGAACTTAGCTGCGTTTTGTTTACAGTTTTAATATAATTTTGCAACAATAAGATGTTCGCATTCTACACTAGGCACCTCTGATGCTGTCGTGGCGAAACGATGTCGTGACGTTTCACAATCGAGTCTGCAACGCGTGTCGAGCTGCAGTTGGCTAGGTGCGAAAAATCCTTCTCATTTATTTCCGCGTTATAGAGAATTTATTCAGACGCCTGCGACATTATCAAGGCTCTCACAATATGAATGGACGTTTCTGCTGACCAGTCACCTTGTATTTGGTTGTGTTTCGTACTTCACCCATTCTAGATTCCTCCCGGTAGATTGTCGCGTCGAGCGAGCCACACGACACGCGACTGGCCGTGATTTGCGGTAACGGTGTGTTTTCACGGCGGCTAGTCGGCGTCAGCTCCTCGTGCCGGCGGAACCGCCCGTAACGCCCAAAAAGAATCGTTATACCGGATTTGCCGAATTGGGAATTTTTATTCAATCGTCGATACCTCCCCGCGCCAATTTGTCGATATGGCCGCTACAAGCTCTGCAATTGCCACGTCAGCCGCCGCATCAACAGCTACCGGGTTCCAATCACCTAAATACTCCGCCTATGGCCACGTGCCACGTGCCAGCTATCCTCTTTCTCGCGCACGTACGCCTGGGCCCGTCCTCGCAGCCGCGGCTCGTCCTTCCCGCCAATTGTCCCTCGGCTCCGGATTTTCAGGAGCTAGGGTCAGGATTGCTGAACCAGGATCGCTATCCAATGGCATCATGCCACGTGTTGGACGACCTTTCAAACAACTAGGCCTGCTAGTTTCGGCCACGTGGCTTGAAAACAAGTGAGTGCGTGCGTGCGCTCTGTCCTAAGTTTTATACTGTTGTTTAAGTGAAACGTTTAGGGAGTTAGCCGCTGCTGTGAGTGCATATGCTCTTTACTACATTATGCTGTTCTGATTGTGAAATGTTTACAGTGCTAGCCGCTGCCGAAATTGCATGCGTGGCACCTTCAATCTCCGCATTCACATCATGCCACGCGTTCACTTCACCTGTCCTGTCCCGCCACGTCATCTCATGTGCTGACGTCGCAGGGCCGTGGTGGATGCGCCATCTGTCCCGCTCCCATTGGCCTTCGACCTGTGGATGGACCGAGAGCTTATTCCCTCCTGGATGCCCTGGATTGCTTCAGTAAAAGTACGTGCTTTCTATCCCCTTTATAAGGTGATCCATGGTTGGACCGAGAGCTCATCCCTTCCTGGGTGCCCTGGATTGCTTCAGTGGAAGTAAGCAACTCTTATCCCCGGTATAAGCTGACCTGTGAATGGACCGAGAACTTATTCCCTCCTGGATGCTTCGGTAAAGTGAAAGATTTGTATCCGCGTTATAAGGTGACCTGTGGCTGGACTGAGAGCTCATCCCCTCCTGGATGCCCTGGATTGCTTCAGTAAAAGTGAGTGATTTGTATCCCCTTTATAAGCTTAACTGCAGATGGACCGAGAGATTATCCCCTGCTCGATGCCGTGGATCGCTTCAGTAAAAGCGAGTGCTGTCTATCCCCGTTATAAGCTGAAATGAACTGTGGATGGACTGGTAGCTACCTTACCCGTTCCCCCTTCCTCTCTTCCTTCCCACCGCCACTGTCTCCCCCTTGCCCTCTCCCTTCCCCTCCATGATTCCCCCCCCTCCTCCTCTACCCCTCCCCTCCGCCCACCCCTTTCCGCTCCCCCTCCTCCGTCCCCCACCCCGTCCCCCTCTTCCCCCCATCCCCCAGGTGCGTGACGACAAGCCAGAGCTCTCCACGTGGACCCTCCGTTACAGCGCCTTTGGCCAGAACCTCGAGTTCTCGTGGCTCGCCAAGAACCTGCAGGTGAGGCGGACAGGAGGAAGGGGGGAACCAAGTCTCTACGATGCAATGCATTCGGGCAGAATCTCAAGTTCTCGTGGCTTGCCAAGAACCTGCAGGTGAGAGGGTGAGCGTGCAGATAAGACCTCAACGGATTTGGGGAAAGGGGGAAGAGGGGAAGGGGGAAAGGGGGAACTAAGTCGTTACAGCGCATTCGGGCAGAATCTCGAGTTCTACTGGCTTGCCAAGAACCTGCAGGTGAGGCTGGGAGATGGCTGAGGGCAGATATGACCTGCAGGTGAGGCTGGGAGATGGCTGAGGGCAGATATGACCTGCAGGTGAGGCTGGGAGATGGCTGAGGGCAGATATGACCTGCAGGTGAGGCTGGGAGATGGCTGAGGGCAGATATGACCTGCAGGTGAGGCTTGGAGATGGCTGAGGGCAGATATGACCTGCAGGTGAGGCTGGGAGATGGCTGAGGGCAGATATGACCTGCAGGTGAGGCTGGGAGATGGCTGAGGGCAGATATGACCTGCAGGTGAGGCTGGGAGATGGCTGAGGGCAGATATGACCTGCAGGTGAGGCTGGGAGATGGCTGAGGGCAGATATGACCTGCAGGTGAGGCTGGGAGATGGCTGAGGGCAGATATGACCTGCAGGTGAGGCTGGGAGATGGCTGAGGGCAGATATGACCTGCAGGTGAGGCTGGGAGGCTGCAGATATGACCTGCAGGTGAGGCTGGGAGGCTGCAGATATGACCCGGGGGAAGGGGGGAGAGGAAAGTGGGGGGGAGAGGAAAGTGGGGGGGAGAGAGTAATCTAGTGGAAGGAACGCCCCTGCGCAGAACCTCGAGTTCTCCTGTCTTTCCTCCCACCACATCTTCATAATCCATTCTTCCTTCTCTTCCTGCTCTCTGTTTTTTTAGAATTCTCAAAAACCAGGTTCGAGTTTTCCTGTCTTTCCTCCCACCATCATTATCCATCCTTCCATCTCTTCCCGCTCTCGGTTTTTTTTTAACTCTCATAAACTAGGTTCGAGTTTTCCTGTCTTTCCTCCCACCATCATTATCCATCCTTCCATCTCTTCCCCCTCTCATCCCCCCTCCCGCCAGCCTATTCACCATCAGAAGATCCATTGGAGATCACTCGATGCTCTGCCCAACAGCAGAGCCAGCAGTGTGTTGTTAACTGCCGTTCCCCCCATCCCATCCTCTCTTTCTATTCTCCTCCTTAGCCTCTCACCCCTTCCCCCCCAGCCCATCCACTATCAGAAGATCCACTGGAGATCATTCTATGGTCTCCCCAACAGTGGCTCCGTCTGCTTCTTTGCTGCGGTCCCCCTCCCGGTCATCTCTCTCTCCCCTTCCATCTCCTCCCCCCTCCCACCAGCTGTGCCAGCAGTATAATAACTGCCCTTCCCCTCCTCCTGCCCGTCCCACAACTCTCCCCCACAGCCCATCCACCATCAGAAGATTCATTGGAGATCACTAGATGGTCTCCCCAACAGAGGTGCCTACTATACATTACCTGCCTTTCCTCCCTCCTCTTATCCCCACTTCCTCTCCGTCCTCCTCTCCTCTCTCCCCCCACCCACCAGCCCATCCACCATCAGAAGATCCACTGGAGATCCCTGGATGGTCTCCCCAACAGGGGGGCTGTTCGTTTCTTCCCCAGCGGCCCTAACGGCTGCAAGCTGGAGGTATGCGGTGTGGTGTGGTCTTATGCGGTGTGGTGTGGTATCTTTCAAGTCGCTTTTGAGAAATCCTAGCGATTGCCGGTACAGTGGGGTCGTCCGTTTCTTCCCTGGCGGCCCTAACGGCTGCAAGCTGGAGGTATGCAGTGTGGTGTGGTCTGCTCTGCTGTGCGGTGCTGTGCTGTGCGGTGCTGTGCGGTGCTGTGTGATGCTGTGCTGTGCTGTGCTGTGCTGTGCGATGCTGTGCTGTGCTGTGCTGTGCTGTGCTGTGCTGTGCGGTGCGGTGCGGTGCGGTGCGGTGCTGTGCTGTGCTGTGCTGTGCTGTGCTGTGCTGTGCGGTGCTGTGCGGTGCTGTGCTGTGATGTGCTGGGATTGTCCTCTCCGTTTCTGTTCTTGAACCTTGGAAGTCTCCTCTTTACTTGGTGATTTGTTTGTTTTTTTCTCAATCCTCCGGTGTGGTCTTTACATTTCCCATTTGTGTAATCTACCCCACTCCCCCCATAATTTCAGATGACCATCTCTTATGAAGTGCCAGGGATTCTTGTCCCCGTCGCAAACGTACGATCCTCTCCTTGTTCTGTCATCCCAACTCTCCTCTCAATTTTTTGTCGTCTTTTGAGGAGGCCTAAATCACTCCTCTCAGCTTTCAATCGCCCCAAATGCTTTCAATCTCCCTAAACCACAACTCAGCTAACTTCAGCTGAGCCAGCCTCAACTCAGCCAGTTTTCTACTTCTCGATACGGATTCCATTATGGGCTTCTCCTGTCTTCTCCTTGCACTGTATCTGCTACTCCTCCTTTTCTTCCCATTCCCTTAAAGCCAGGGTCTCAAGTAGACCAAGTGTTTAGCAGTCGATGAAAAAAGGGCCTGTCTGATTGGTTTACAAAACTGGGGCCAAAGTTTTGTCAAATCGAAACTGGCCAAAGAACCCACTTTTCGCCCAAGTGTTTTGCAGTTGCACGGCCAACCCATACATGAGACCCTGGCTTTAATATTCTCTTTCCCTACTCACACAATACCAATTTGTTTTCCCTCTTGTCGTCCCTGCTTCCCTCATCTTCCGTCTTACCCTCTTACCTGTCCCCCTTTCCTGTACCCGCTTTCATGTTCCCTCTGTCCTATTTCTTCCACTCTCCTCCCGCATTTCTCCCAACCCTCCTCCCCCCTTCCCCATCAGAGCCTAGCCCCACCGGTGCAGAGCATCATTCAGGCCAACCTTGAGCGGTCTGTTCCCTCATCCATTCCTCTTTCTTCCTCACTCCCCATGTTGCCCCCCCCCCAACCTTCCTCCCCCCTTCCCCATCAGAGCCTAGCCCCATTGGTGCAGAGCATCATTCAGGCCGACCTTGGGCAGTTTGTGGAGTTTGCACGGTCAGTTTCCTCATTCCTCTTTCTTCCTCACTCACTCCCCATGTTCCCCCACCCCTCCTCCCCTCCTCTCCTTTCCCATCAGAGCCTAGCCCCAGTGGTGCAGAGCATCATTCAGGCCGACCTTGAGCAGTTCGTGGAGTTTGCACAATCTGTTCCCTCATCCCTCTTTCTTCCTCTCCCACTCCCCTTTTCCCCCACCCCTCCTCCCCTCCTCTCCTTCCCCACCAGAGCCTAGCCCCATTGGTGCAGAGCATCATTCAAGCCGACCTTGAGCGGTTTGTGGAGTATGCCAAAAAGATACAGCAGCAGAAGGCTTAGGGTACATTCCTGCCTGGACATTTGTATCTCAATCCCCTTTTTCCCGAGTCGCGTCGAAACATTTTGTCAAACTCGCGTCACAAAATTTGAATGTATCTCGAAACTGGGCGACCAGGCGAAAGTTACAGTTGTGCGCATCTGATTGGATTTCAAACATGACTGTATACCTGTTTCTTCAACCGCCTGGCTGGGGTGGGGTTTCGACGAGCGGATTTTTTTCCCGAGCGAGATTGGCATTGTGGGGTGTCCAGGTGCATTGACATTTCGAACCGCGTGCGACTTTTTGACAGTGACGAGTCAATATGCAACTCGTCCGCGACGTCCGCGCGTTTCACGCTGACCAATAAAAAATACAGCAATGGTCGCACAAGGGCGACACGCGTTTGTGACATTGTACGTTATATGTTGTTTTTACGCGTCACAAACGCTTTGAGACACAAATGTCCAGGCAGGAATGTACCCTTAATAAACTGGCCGTGTTGGTATATTTATGTTGTGTGCATAGAGGTCTGGTTGGTTACATGTTTGTGAAGACCGTTCCTGAGGCATGGTGCAACTGAATCAATGCATAGTGTTGCAAGTCCTTGAGATTTGAGCTGAGTGCGGGCCACTGAAACCCTGGTGTTTGGGGACACAGTTCACCTGTCAACGGAGGGGCTGGAGTTGTACTTAATTCCGTAGCTAGTTTCCAGAATCATTTAAGTCTCTGAAACTACAGAGTGCAAATGTATACTGAAGGAATGCAGGAATGTCTGAGATACCATAATGCAGGAAGCTCCAAAAAACCTGCTTTCCACTCAAAAGCAGGAATGTCTGAGATACCGTAATACACGAATTTACACGTATTGTGGCTTCTTGACCGCCAATGGGAAGCAGCTCACAACGCAGTACACATCAATCAGCACACTGAAATCACCACAGTACAGTGGCCCTGCAAACAAACAGCGGTCCATTCCAAGGCTCCTCTTTTAAATCAAGGGGTCTGAACTGAGACACAAACAAATCATGGTTTCAGCCTCATGGGGACTTCAATTGAGGAGCAGAATCCCCTGCACTGAATACAGCTGATTCTTCCAAAACTGTAGAACCCAGTCTGTTAGGAGGCCAGTATCTGTAGATTGATCGGCCCAATACATTTTCCACCGGCAGAGGGCCCCTGCTCACAAATAACGAAGAGTTTAAGAACCAATTTTGAAATATGTTAGCTATTAGCTATTAGCAAAGAGCCAAGTGGTTCCATGATGGTAGCATGCGGACATGGAGAGAGCCTGAAAGCTGAAGCAAGTATGCCACCTACCAGATGTGTGAGTCGTAGCTGTTGTTACGATTGTCGCCCATGACAAACACGTATCCTGGTGGGACATACTGTGCAAGGGAGTAACAGGATAGTTTTTGTGAGAGGTGCGTGTCAGGTTATGCAAGAGAAAATGCTGGTGGAGTTCACTGAAATTGGTAAAACAGGATGGAACCGTGAAGACGGTGCCAGAGTGCGCAAAAAACAAGAGTGGTGTCAACAAGGGTGCGTACCTGCGGCTTCATATCATATGCAGGTGGCTCGAAAGTGAATTCATCACTCCTCTGAACACCATTCACATAGGTTTTCCCAGCCTTGACCTGCATGATTCACGAAGAAAAACATCAGACGGACTCCACGGGAAAGTGTCCTAGGAACATGCAACCGACAAGACAATTACGGTATAAAACTATAAACGGGGAAGGACAAGTGGGGACACAAGACGGCACTGACCTCTACAACGTCGCCAGCAGTAGCTATGATTCGCTTGATAAATACTTCGCCAGCACTGTACCCTCGTTCCTGCATGTAGCAAGCTCGCATGGTGAGCCTTACATCAACCACCACCACAATTCTAAAGGGGTAAGTAACCATGAAGCTAAGATAAAGTGCCTACCTGAAGAACCTTGGGTGCCTTGAAAATGACAATGTCGTCAGTCTCTGGTTCCCGGAAATAATAGGAGACCTGCACACCAGAAATTTTAAATCAAGTAAAAGTCCGAATTTACCGTTGTGAGCTTGCACAACCGGTAAACTCTGATGTTTAAGACTGTGCGCTGCCAAATTTTTTATGCTTGACTCTAACAACTTCCCAGCATTGTCGCTGAGGGACTCACTTGTTTTTGTTGATAACTTTACAGACAGCTGTGCCGATGGATGCAGATCGACCTAAGACTGTTATCTAGACGACAAATGGCTCACCTTCTCCGCGATGATTCTGTCGCCAATGTCAAATGTCGGAAACATTGACAGCGACGGTATAAACCGTGGTTCCGCGATGAACCATCGAAACACCAGCGATATTCCAAACGCGATTATAACCGTCTTGGCATCGTCCGAAGTCAGATCAAGCCAATCGGGTAACCAGCTGGGCTTGTTAGAGTTTTCGCCGGACTCCCGTTGACTCTCAGGCTCCCGATCGCTTGTCGTAGACACATTCTTGCCTTTGGAACTTCCGTCATCACCCCCTCCTGTTTCACCCTCCTCGCGAACAGCAGGAGCCCTGACGTCCCTCTCTACGCTGCCATTCCGCCGAGACCCAGACGGGATGCCGTTGAGCGACGATCGTGCATTCGCTCCAGATCGGACGGTGATGAATGATTGCTGGCCGGAATTTGCGGGTCTCAATGGTTCTGATGGTTCCCTGAGGGAGAAACGAATACTGCTTTGAAACACAATGCTCGCCGGTCTACATTTTCTAGTCGAATTCCTACAGATTGGAAAATGCGAAACGGCTGACCGACGTTGAACAATGGCGGCATCGCCGCATGTGCTCGCGAAATTGCGATCCAGAAATTTCGAGCTGCTACAAGCGGATAAGGCCGCCGAGTTCATCGTAACGAGATTTTCACTGTCTTGCTAAAAAAGCTATGAAACACTAGGCAGCACAGCGGCGGCTGGTCAATCACCGGAAGAATTTCGGGGACGATACCAGACGAACGCGTTAGAGACGGCTGTCTTGAGGAGGCCGCTAACGCGACGCGCCAAAAGAGAACGAGGGACACCAGCAGAAGACGGAGACGGAAACGGAGACGCTGCTGCCTTAGCAGCTCCTGCTCCTCTGCCCTGCTCTCTACTGGTAGAAACGGAGGCCTCGGTGATGGTAATCTGAGATGCTGTTATGGGAAATCGAGAAATGGAGGCCTTATCCAAACCACAACTCTCAAGATAATTACGAGGTGACGAGATTTTGTTCCACTATATCGTGCGGTATCGCGTGTACCTTGATAAACTCCCACCGTCCGCCTTACAAAACGATACGTTTGCCTCAAATATGTGCACAGAAAATACAGCGTCTTAAAGCTCGCGGCCCAAATTGCGGGGCGCGCTGGCCAAGCTTACTAAGGTTGACGGGGGTGATATTTTGAGTGCTGTTTGGGTTGCGAAGGGTGGTTACGAGAAGTGAGATGCAATCTGATTGGCCAGATATTTTTTGTCGAATGGGAGAGCAGGGAACAACAACAATATGTTGATTGCAATTTGGGACTCTCGAAGCAAACCCAGGTTGCTCCCAGCGGTTTGCCGTGTTAACGAAAACCCCAAGGGTCTAGCGCGAAACTGGGCGAAAGCAAACAGCCCAACTCCCAACAAGTCAACTTCTTCTCTCGCCACCCAAAGGTCAACCTTACTAAGGTTGAACAATTTGGGCCGCGAGCTTTAAGAAGATGCAATAACGCCATACCCGAATTGGGTACAAATCCCAGCCTGTACGAAAATTGTTTATTACGAGCATTTGAACCGGTTAGCAGCTCAATAAATACATCTATTTGATAGTGAAACAGTGGAAAACAGCTATATTCACAAGATAAAAAACGATTAGTATGCTCCATCCCTTATACACTTAACGCATGTATGCACTCCTCTAGAACCTTCTTCCAGAAACCCAGTCTTGCCGTTACAAACGCGTACGACTCGCCGTGTCATATGCCATCTCAAACGCCATGGCCAAGCACACCGTACTTCTCGCTTCACACGCCATGGTCGGCCCGGATCGCGACCTTCGACTTTCTTCAGGCAAGCATTGCTAATTGCTGCATCCATAGGTTCCAGCCATGCAAGTGAGCGAGTGCTTCTCCTGGGCAAAGTCGGGCCAAAAGATGTCGGTGACAAGCTTTCATTCTCGGAAACATTTGTAACATCTTGCAATCCAGCGACAGTCAATCATTTTCGCACTCGTTTCGCTCGCATCTACACCAGCAGAATTCCAGCAAACATGTAACATTTTGCATGGAACGATGGCCACTTACTCTTTTTCGCACAGTCCCGCACACTCTCCTCTCTGGCAAATTCCCACATGCAGCATGTGGGAGCAAGGCGCACTACCGCTCTCGTTGCTTATCGGCTCGCGTGAGGAAGATAACCAAGCAAGTCGACCGTACAGATCCTACAAGCAAGCCCGTATAAATGGCAGAGCGATAAGGACAGAAATTACAATAATCTCCAGCTCTCGACAGCCCAAACCTCCCACTATTCCCATCTCACTTCAACCGTCAGTCCCTGAGCTTATCATCACACTCTCTCAGCTCATCAGGCTTCGCAATTTCAGTCACAACCATGAGTCAGTTCAACATTTCGTTCTGGGCCATCTTGCTCCTGTCGGCGCTGGCCTTGTCGACCTTCCCGGCTGCCGACGCGCAGACTTACTTGGCGATTCGCGCTCAAGCCGCCAGGAAGGCCGCGAACGACGCGGACGCGCTGGCGCAAACGGCGCAGGCGGATTACAACGACAAGCTCAAGGCGGAAAACGCGGCGAAGAAGGCCGTTGACGACGCCGACGCGGATCTGAACGCCGCGCAGACGGATCTCGATAACAAAAAGAAGAAGCTCGACGACACCAAGGCAAAGGGCGAGAAGGCGCGCCAAGACACGATCCAGTTCAAGCAGACGGTGCGCGATGAGCAGGATTATGACGACGAGCTTGAAATGAATGCCCAAGAGACGGATAACGACGAGAAGCAGAGCAAGCAGGATATCGTCGACGCGCAGGCGCGCGCGAATCTCACGGCGGATCTGCTCACGGAGCAGAACGCGATCGTTAATGAGGCGAGCGACGACTCGACGTACTACGCGCGGCTCGCGACGAAGCTCAAGACACCCCAGGCGCAGGCGGATGCTCTCGAGGCGCAGTCGATCCGCGCTCAGGCGATTCGGATTCAGGGCGCGCTTGTAAAGCAGGCGCAGCGGTCCGTTGAGCGCGTCGGTAGAATGCAATTCGAGTGGGCTGCTACGAATAAGGACAAAACCGACACGAGGAAACAGGCTGATGACCATAAGGTTGTGCTGAACAAGGCTAAGAAGGACGCGAACGACGCCGAGGCACTGTATAACGCGACCATTGTCGAAGCTAAGAACATCGACACGGCGATCAAGCAGCAGAGCCTCGTGGTCGTGGCGAAAATGAAAGCCGCGAAAGACGCGCGAATTCCGCTGGCAAAGGCATCTGCCGCTCGGGCTCAATCCGAAACCAAGTCCACCTCGCTCAAGTCGCGCGCTGATGGATTTAAGGTGGCTGCGGACAAAGCGGAGAAAGAGAACGCCGACTACGAGGCTGCTACCAAAAACGGAAACGGCAACGGTAATGGAAACGGGAACGGTAACGGTAATAACGGCAACGGAAACGGAAACAGCAACTAAAATGACTAGCTCGCCTGCTCTGCTTAAAAACCGCCCGAACCGCGCCCCATCCGATCTCCCATCTTCCGGATACTCCCGACGCTCCCTGACACTCCCCGACACTCCCCGACACTCCCAATGCCCATCGGTCGTTTTCCTGACTTGTCTTTTGATGTTTCGTTTTTTTCCTCCCAAAAAAATGCCTGCCGGAGCCTCTGCCTTGGGAGCGCGCTGCCTTTTGACGAGTCACGTGTGCTGCCTAAGAAATAAAGGCATCTTGTGATACATATTTGTTCATTGAAATCGCTATTCATAATATTATTGGGCCCAAGATCTGCTCGCTAAAAAGGTTGAGGGGCAATATTTATTTGTACAAGATGCATGTACTCAACAATTCTCCTGCAAACGTTACAAACGTGTATGCGACTCGCATTTTCTACATGCCATTTCAAACGCCATAGGCAAACACCATACTTCCCCTCTTCGTACAGCGTTGATTGGTCAGCCCGGGTCGCGACCTTCGTCTTTCTTCGGGCAAGCATGGCTGATTGCTCCATCCATAGGTTCCAGCCATGCAGGTGAGCGAGCACTTCTTCTGGTAGTGCGAACATGACGGGGGGAGTCTTTCTTTCTCGAAAGCATGTGTAACATCTAGCAATCAGCGAGAGCCTTGTATTTTCGCATTAACTTCGCTCGCATTTCTTTAACCAGAATTCTAGTGCACCTGTATCATTCGCAAGGAACAATTTGCACTGACTTCTTTTCGTACTGTCGCGCAACCCTGCCCTCCCTGACAAAAACCCACATGCAGCATGTGGATGCAAGGCGCGTCTCGTTGCCACTCTTGTTGCTTGTCTGCTCGCATCAGGAAAGAAACCAACCATCCCGATTCCCAAGTCGACCGTACCTACAAGCAAGCGCCATAAAAGTGGCCGAGGGATGGGAACAAAATTCACAACAATCTTCAGTATCCCACAACCCAAGCCTCCCACTCTTCCCATCTCACTTGCTCGTCAGTCCCCTGAGGATCACTACCCTGAGCCTCTGCAACTGCGACTCACTCCTTTGACGCGATACGCATTTTCCGCACCCCAGTCTCTTCAGTTACACACGCAGCCATGAGTCAGTTCAACGTTTCGTTCTGGGCTATCGTGCTCCTGTCGGCATTGGCCGTGTCGAACTTCTCCGCCGCCGATGCGCAATCTTACATGTCGACTCGCGCGCAAGCCGCGAGAAAGGCCGCGAGCGACGCGGACGCGCTTGCGCTTACAGCGCAGGCAGATTACAACGAAAAGCTGAAGGCGGAAAATGCGGCGAAGAAGGCCGTTGACGACGCCGACGCCGATCTCAACACCGCGCAGATGGAACTCTCGAACAAAAAGAAGCAGCTCGACGACACCAAGGCCAAGGGCGAGAAGGCGCGCCAGGATACGATTAAGTTCAAGCAGACGGTGCGCGATGAGCAGGAGTACGACGATGAGCTTGAAATGGATGCCGGGGAGGCGGATAACGACGAGAAGGAATACGCGAAAGATATTCTCGACGCGCAGGCGCGCGCAAATCTCACCGCAGATCTGCTCACGGAGCAAAACGCGATCGTTAAGGAGGCGACTGACGACTCGACGTACTACGCGCGGCTCGCGACGAAGCTCAAGACGCCCCAGGCGCAGGCGGATGCTCTCGAGGCGCAGTCGATTCGCACGCAGGCGGTTCGGATCCAGGGCGCGCTTGTGAAGCAGGCACAGCGGTCCGTTGAGCGTGTCGGTAGGATGCAGTTTGAGTGGGCTGCGACGAATAAGGATAAGGCCGACACGAGGGGCAAGGCTAATGAGCACAAGCTTGTGTTGAACAAGGCTAAGAAGGACGCGACCGACTCCGAGGCGCTTTACAACTCGGCTATCGTCGAAGCGAAGACCATCGACGCGGTTATCAAGCAGCAAGCCGTCGTGGTCGTGGCGAAAACCAAGGCTGCGAAAGACGCGCGAATTCCGCTTGCGAAGGCCGCTACCATTCGGGCTCAATCCGAAACCAAGTTCAACGCGCTCAAGTCGCGCGCTGACGGATTCAAGGCGGCTGCGGACAAGGCGGAGAAAGAGAACGCCGACTACGAGGCCAAAAACGGTAACGGAAACGCTTACGGCAAAAGCGACTAGCTCGCTAGCTCTGCTCAATAGACCGCCAAAACCTCGCCCTTCCGACCCCTCGTGCTTCCCTCCCGATACTCCTCACACTACCCACACTCCCGATTCTTCCAATGCTTCCGACACTCCCGATGCTCATCGGTCGTTTACTCTTTGTCTTCTGATGCTTCGAGTGGTTTTTTCTCCCTTGGGCCAAGAGAATGCCTGCTTGAGCCTGCCTTGGGCTCTGGCTGAATGCTTTGGGAGCGCACTGTCTTTGTCTGATTCGCTAGCTTGGACATGTGCTGCCTGAGAAATAAAGGCATCTTGTGATATTTATTTGTTCAATGATATATGCACAATTTCAAACGTTTGGACTAATTTCAGACGTTTGTCTGAACAGCTGAAGGAAATTAGCCCAATGTGAAATTTCCACTCCAGCGGAGTCCCACCCGAGGTAGTTCTTTTATGATAGTCCCACACCAAGCAGATAGCTGAATTGTCCTGCAACAACTGCCTATCAAAGCGTGGATTTAAATGGATGTTGCATGGCCGTGTGAAGTGTGCATGCAACCAGTATGTGCCAAGTGACCAAAGTGAATTTGTTATGCTTCGGGGACAAGGGATAGAAGCGCTTGTCTTGTTAGCAACCACGACTCATTTTACTCTCAAGGTATGCACTATTTACTTCCATAGACGTATGAAGCATGATATTGAAAAGAGACCTGTGCCAAAGATACTCTGGTCTTGTCTGGTGCTGCTCGCTAGCACCACCTAATCCCTTATAGTTTGTTCATTAGTCCAAACCTGTAGTTGCCTCCAAATGATTCAGCTCTGCGATTTCCTCTATAAACCTGCAAAGCACACAAGAAAGGCAAAACCAAGGGCACATACGGTACAAGCTTCAAGTCAAGTCATAGTGTATTGATTCGGCGCTGAAATCTCCTCCATGCACCGGGAAACACAGGACAGGAGGCCAGGAGGCCATGGATGGAGATCAAAGGCACACAAAAACGAACAGCACAGAGTGAATGTCTATTTTTGAGGCGCCTCAAGAATAGATTTGGCATTGAAATCTTCTCCATGCACCAGTGACACACAGAACAGGAGGCCAGGAGACCGAGGATGGAGATCAAAGGCACACAAAAACGAACAGCACAGAGTGAATGTCTATTTTGAGGCGCCTCAAGAATAGATTTGGCATTGAAATCTCCTCTATGCATCAGTGAAACACAGGACAGGATGCCAGGAGGCCACGGATAAAGACCAAAGGCACACCAAAATGAGCCGCACAGAGTGAATGTTGGGATTGGCTGCCCGTGAAACACCATGTGCTACATCAGCCAGGTGCTTTTAAAGAGTATTTTCAAGACACAATTGGGCTGCCCGTGAAACAACATGCTACAGTATCAGGCAGCTCATGTGGCGGAATTGAGGAGCACAGTGCCACCTAGTATGACCAGAGCGTGGGATTGGCCGCCCGGGAAACAACATGTGGTACAGTACCTGAATACGTTCTCAGTGAACTCAAAACAAACTTGGCCGCCTGGGAAACAGGGCTGTGTGTTGAGATTCGCCGCCCAGGAAACAACAGTGCTACAGTACCAGGCGGAGTTGAAGAGAGCAGTGCCGCCCAGGACGATCGTGGGATTTGCTGCCCGGAGCATGCTACAGTACAACACAGGTAGCCCACCTGGTGGAGTTGAGGAGAGCAGGGCCGCCCAGGACGACCCGCGTGTTGGGATTGGCCGCCCGGAAATCAGCGCATGCTACAGTACAAGACAGGTACTGGCTGCACGGGTCTCACCTGGTCGAGTTGAGTAGCGCAGTGCCGCCCAGGACAACCCGCGTGTTTGGATTGGCCGCATTGAACAGTGCCACTGCTCGCGCCTCCTCATAGGTTGTGCCGCCCACCACAAACACAATCAAATCTTGGGACCTGAAGTGGCAGGAATCCGAGGCAGGGGGGTTAGGGGCACGGGGCTCTGTGACTTGACTAGCAATAACAGGAAAGCAGTCATTGTTATAAGTGTGACGATTGTGCAGTGATGTGAGTATAGGCGCTTTAATGCGACAATGGTTGCAATACAGCAATGAAAGGCGCAATAATGCAAAAACAAGAGTGTTGTTCCCTAGTATGAAGGGGTAATTTGCCTCGCTCAGCTGCCTCTTAGTGACCATAGCAATCCCTTCCACCCTGTTCCACCCCTTTCCACCCCATTCCACTCCATTCCATCCCATACCACCCCATTCCACCACCCTTCCACTCCCCCTCACCTGGACTGCTGGAAGTTTCCCGAGATGAACAGGTAATCCGCCTCACTCAGCCGCCCTTGAGTAGTCACAGCAATCCCTTCACCGCACTCCACCCCATTCCACCCCCTTCCACCCCCCTCCTTTCCCCCCCACCTGGACTGCTGGAAATTCCCTGAGATAAAGGGGTAATCCGCCTCGCTCAGCCGCCCCTTGGTGGCAGCATCGATGATCTGGGCTATGAGCGGCTGGTGCTGCGTGTATACATTCTCCACGCCCTGGGGGGGGTGGGAGGAGAGGGAGATTGATCGAGGAGTGAGTAACAAACAGAGGGCATCAAAGGCAGCATTGATGATCTGGGCTATGAGCGGCTGGTGCTGCGTGCATACATTCTCCACGCCCTGGGGGGGGGGGGAGGAGAGGGAGATTGATCGAGGAGTGAGTAACAAACAGAGGGCATCAAAGGCAGCATTGATGATCTGGGCTATCAGCGGCTGGTGCTGCGTGTATACATTCTCCACGCCCTGGGTTTAGGGGGGGGGGGAGGGGGGAGAAAGAGGCAGAGGGAAAGGGCGTCTCGCTCAGCCGCCCCTTGGTGGCAGCATCAATGATCTGCGCTATGAGCGGCTGGTGCTGCGTGTATACATTCTCCACGCCCTGGGGGAGGCAGGGGGTGGGAGGGTAAAAGAGGCAGAGGACAAGGGTGATAGAAATGAGCTTGAACTGATTAATCAAAATAGAAGGCACTAGGCCTTAAGTGCTAAGGGGTTGGGAATCCAAGCAAATCTCCAATGGTGAGTTAGCAGATTTGTTGGATTACGGGGGGATCCCAACCAGATAAGGTTGGGATAACAAATCTACACCCAACCTACAAATAACCTACAAGATATAAAATAGAGTACACAAATGTGTTGACAGCGTAATTCTAGCAAAGGGCGCCTCACTGAATCCCTACTCTCATACACTAACATCCAGAACAATATCCTCTCTTCACTCGCCTCCTCTTCCCAGTCAACGTCACCCTGTGTGCCCTGCTGACCGCGAGCCCTCGCTTCACATTCCTAGCAACAATATTGAGCAGGTTTCTACTCCCATACAGATGCAGCACTTTTCACTCCTCTCCCTAACATACAAAAGTTCATCCCCTCCTATCAGCAGCTTCCCCACACGTTTACTGTGAGCCCTCGCTTCACGTTTCTGGCCACCATATTGAGCAGATCCCTGCTTCCATACAGGTCCGCGACTCTCCACTCCCTCAAAAAACACCTAAAACTATATCCTCTTTATAAGCAGCTCCCCAACACACTTACCGTGAGCCCTCGCTTCACATTCCGAGCCACCATATTGAGCAGATCTCTACTGCCTTACAGATCAGCAACTCTTCTGCACTCGTCTCCCAAAAACTAAATATTATATCCTCGTTATAAGTACCTACCCCACACACTTACCGTGAGCCCTCGCTTCACATTTCTTGCCACCATATTGAGCAGGTCCCTGCTGCCGTACAGATCGGCTACTCTCCTCTTTGATCCGAACTGGCGCAGCAGCGTGTATACCAGCTGGTATGCAAGTGAAGGGATGGAAGGACATGAAGCAGAGGGAGAAATTGCAACAAGCGTGGGCTGAAATAGAGACAAGTGTTGAAACTTAGGACTCAGCTGCCGTACAGATCGGCCACTCGCATCTTTGATCCGCACTGGCGCAGCAGCGTGTATACCAGCTGCGAGGCAATGATTGGAGCGACAGAGGGGTTCGAGGCAGTGGGGGGTGAAGAAGGAAGCACAGGGGTGTTTGAGATGTTCCAATACCCAAACTGGCACAGCAGAGTGCACAGCAGCCGGCAGGCAATGGGTGGGTTGAAAAAACGAACGGGACAGGCTTTGTACTTAGGGTTTCGGCACACACCACTATGGTGATGCTTTGTCCTCTCCCCAACCCTGCTCACCCCTGCTCACCGCTTCTCACCCTTACCCCTTTTAACACCCAACTCATCCCCCCCTTGTACTTGGGGTTGCAGCAAACATCACTGACCTTGTTGATCAGCGCCTGCAGGTGCCGTGGGCTGTGCTGCTCCCTCACGCTCCTCCCTCCTCACCCCTCCTCACCCCTGCTCACCCCTGCACACCCCTGCACACCCCTGCACACCCCTGCACACCCCTGCTCACCCCTGCACACCCCTGCACACCCCTGCACACCCCTGCACACCCCTGCACACCCCTGCACACCCCTGCACACCCCTCTCTCCCCTCCCACTCACCCCGGCCTTGTACTTGGAGTTGCGGCACACGTCACTGAACTTGTTGATAAGCGCCTGCAGGTGCCGCGGGCTGTCCTCCTCGTACCGCAGGGCATACAGCATCACCAGCCGCAGCTTATCCACCTCTGCTATGTCTTGAGATGCTAGCTTGGCCGCTACTGCCTGGTGGTGGGTGGTGGGTGGAGGGTGGGTGATGGGTGGGGGAGAAGAGGGTTGGAACGGGCTGTCCTCTTTGTATCGCAGGGCATACAGCATCACCAGCCGCAGCTTATCCACATCTGCTATGTCTTGAGATGCTAGCTTCGCTGCCACTGCCTGATGGTGGGTGGGTGGTGGGTGAAGGTTGGTTGGGAGGCAGGGGAGGAGAGGGCAGAGGAGAGGAGGGGTGGGATGAAACAAGTCCGGTGCCGCGGACTGTCCTCTTTGTACCGCAGGGCATACAGCATCACCAGCCGCAGCTTATCCACATCTGCTATGTCTTGAGATGCTAGCTTGGCCGCTACTGCCTGGTGGTGGGTGGTGGGTGGAGGGTGGGTGATGGGTGGGGGAGAAGAGGGTTGGAACGGGCTGTCCTCTTTGTATCGCAGGGCATACAGCATCACCAGCCGCAGCTTATCCACGTCTGCTATGTCCTGAGATGCTAGTTTTGCTGCTACTGCCTGGTGGTGGGTGGTGGGTGATGGGTGGGGAAAGGAGGGGAGAGGGAATAGGGAAGAGGGGCGAGGAGGTGGGTGCTATTACCAACACTCTCTGCAGCTCTGTCAAGACCACCTCATCTATGCATGGTGGTCTATGCAGCTGCATAGATGAGGTGGTCTTGACAGAGCTGCATAGACCACCATGCTGCCGTCCATCTGTCTCACCTCATCTATGCACAGCACACCACGCTCGCGCTCTCCCTCACCTATTCTCCGGTCTCTCCCCGGTCTCACCTATGTACCTCAAAGGTAGCAGTCTGCCCTGACGTGCATGCCAGCTCCTGCTCCACCTCACACACTGCCATCCTCTTCCCACCCCCCAGCAACCAGCCCTAGTAGTCCCCCTCTCCCTCATTACCTCGAATGCTGCTGTCTGCCCTGACGTGCATGCTAGTTCCTGTTCCACTTCAGACACAGCCATCAGCTTCCTGCTCCCCACCACGCGCTGCAGCTCTGTCATAATCGCCACGTGTTTGGCCACGTTCCCCGCCTGCCTGCGGTACTCGGGGTATGACTCCAACACGGCTGCCATGTCGTCTGGAAGGAGAGGGATGGAGAGGGAGGGGGGGAGGGAGGGGGAGAGGGACAAAACGGGTCAAACGGGCTTAAAAACAGAGTGTAGCAGCAGCAGTAGCAGGACCAGCGGCAGCAGTACCAGCGGCAGCAGTGGCACCAGCAGCAGCGGCAGTGCCATCAGCTTCCTGCCTCCCCACCACGCGCTGCAGCTCTGTCATGATCGCCACATGCTTGGCCACATTGCCCGCTTGCCTGCGGTACTCGGGGTACGACTCGAGCACTGCTGCCATGTCGTCTGGTGGGAAGAGGGGCGGGGGAAGAGAGGAGAAGCAGTGGAAAAGGTTTAGCCAATAAAAAGAGTGTGTGCATCAGCAGGAGGTACCTCAAAAGACGACGTGTTTTGAGTCGACTCAAAACACGACTCATTACACGCGGGAAGAGGGGCGGGGGAAGGGAGGAGAAGCAGTGGAAAGGGCTTAGCCAATAAAAAGAGTGTGTGCATCAGCAGGAGGTACCTCAAAAGACGACTTTCGGGCGCCACAAACAGAGAGTGCCTGTGACACCCCTTGACGCGGCACTGCTCACTCACCTACCACATGGATGCATGTCATATTCCCAATCCAAGCTCACCCAGCGTCTGAATGCCCTTGTTGCGCCGGTCCTTGCTCTGTAGATCGGAAACCAGTTTCGCCACGGCACTGCCCACGTCGCCAAAGCTGTCATACATGTGCCGCCCTGGTGGGCCCTGCCCTGGGCTGGGCAACTAACCGCCTAAGGAGTGCCTGCCTGCCTGCATCATTCACTCACGCACCCACCTAGCGTCTGAATGCCCTTGTTGCGCCGGTCCTTGCTCTGTAAATCAGACACCAGCTCGGCCACGGCACTGCCCACGTCCCCAAAGTTGTCGTACATGTGCCGCCCTGGTAGGCCCTGCCCTGGGCAACTAACCGCCTTCTGCCTACCTGCATCATTCACTCACGCACCCACCTAGCGTCTGAATGCCCTTGTTGCGCCGGTCCTTGCTCTGTAAATCGGAAACCAGTTTCGCCACGGCACTGCCCACGTCCCCAAAGTTGTCGTACATGTGCCGCCCTGGTAGGCCCTGCCCTGGGCAACTAACCGCCTTCTGCCTACCTGCATCATTCACTCACGCACCCACCCAGCGTCTGAATGCCCTTGTTGCGCCGGTCCTTGCTCTGTAAATCAGACACCAGCTCGGCCACGGCACTGCCCACGTCGCCAAAGTTGTCGTACATGTGCCGCTTGAAACTGGTGGCTGGTGGCTGCGGCTGTGTGATAGCCTATTCACCTCACCTCACCTCACCTACCGTCTGTCTCAATGCGTTCATGACTTGTCCCCCACCCACCTAGCGTCTGAATGCCCTTGTTGCGCCGGTCCTTGCTCTGTAAATCAGACACCAGCTCGGCCACGGCACTGCCCACGTCCCCAAAGTTGTCGTACATGTGGCGCTTGAAAAACTCGTCCTCCCCCGCTGCCAGCACCACCTCCCTCTGATCCGCACTCTCTGATCTGCACTCACCGAGCGTTTGAATCCCTTTGTTCCGCCGGTCCTTGCTCTGTAAGTCCGAGACCAGTTTCGCCACGGCACTCCCCACGTCCCCAAAGTTGTCATACATGTGCCGCTTGAAGAACTCGTCCTCCCCCGCTGCCAGCACCACCTCCCTCTGGTCAGGGCTCACGTTGGCCACGTGACTGAGATCCACCTTGTTGCTCTCAATGCCTATCAGCTCGTGCACCATCGCCTGGGGAGGGAAAGGGGAGGAGTGAATGGGAGGGAGTGAAAGAGGAAAAACTCGTCCTCCCCTGCTGCCAGCACCACCTCCCTCTGATCGGGGCTCACGTTGGCCACGTGACTCAAATCCACCTTGTTGCTCTCAATGCCTATCAGCTCGTGCACCATGGCCTGGGGAGGGGAGGAGGGGAGGAGTGAAAGAGAGGAAGTGAAAGGGGTGAAGCTCGTCCTCCCCCACTACCAGCACCACCTCCCTCTGATCAGGGCTCACGTTGGCCACGTGACTCAAATCCACCTTGTTGCTCTCAATGCCTATCAGCTCGTGCACCATGGCCTGGGGAGGGGGTAAGGGAAGGGAGAGGTGAGAGGGCAAGAGAGGGAATGAGGGGGTAAAGCTGGTCCTCCCCTGCTGCCAGCACCACCTCCCTCTGATCAGGGCTCACGTTGGCCACGTGACTCAAATCCACCTTGTTGCTCTCAATGCCTATCAGCTCGTGCACCATGGCCTGGGGAGGAGAGGGGGGAGGACCGACGGTCGTGTACCAGGTTGTTCAGACTGTCAGCCAATACAATGAGTCGTCAATATCAAAGGCTAAGCATACGTGGCATGTGATAGGTACACGTCAGGCATACCTGGTACCTCCATTGTGTGAGTAACGGGGTAACCGGGTCGTCCCTCCTGTCCACCATCAACAGCAACGGCGGGGCGTCCGTATGTGAGTATTGAGGTAACCAGCTCACAAGCACACGCCAAGCATACCTGGTAAGTCCACTGGGTGAGTAACGGGGAAACCGGGTCATCCCTCCTGTCAACCACCAGCAGCAGCGGCAGGGCGTCCGTGCGTCTGAAGTCAAAGAGAGGCTTCTCTGCTTCGTACATGATGCGCTGGGGGGAGGAGACAGGGGGTTGGGAGGAACGGAAGGAAGAGGGGATACGAGAATATGACATTAGCAGCAGCACCAGCAGCAGCGGCAGGGCGTCCGTGCGTCTGAAGTCAAAGAGAGGCTTCTCTGCTTCGTACATGATGCGCTGAAGGGGGGGGGAATGGGAGGAAGGAGGGTTGGGGTTGGGTGGATTGGGGGTGTGAGGGAAGAAGAGTGAAATGTGACAGCAACGAGCAGTAGCGGCAGGGCGTCCGTGCATCTGAAGTCAAAGAGTGGTTTCTCTGCCTCGTACATGATGGGCTGGAGTGTGCGGGGGGAGAGAAGGAGGCACGAAGTAGGGAAGGGGAGACGGGAGAAGAGGATAAGGCGCAGCAGGCATTGGTCAAAATCGAAGAGGGCCAGTAGAGCATCCACTGAGCGCTCGGCCACCCTCTGCGTGTTGTGCAGGTCGACAGTGGCTGCGACAGGCGCTCACTGAGCGCTCTCCTCCCTCCCATGCCCACTCACGCCCCTTCTTTCACTCACATGCCCACTCACCCCTGTTTCATGCGCCACGCGTCTCGCCAGCTCCGACCCCCGCTGAAAGTGTATGGAAGGGCGCATCTTGAGGCTCAAGCAGAGCGCCAACAGGGCGTCCACTGAGCGCTCAGCCACCCTCAGGGTGTTGTGCAGGTCGACAGTGGCGGAAACAGGCGTTCACTGAGCGCTCCTCTGGGCACTCACTAAGCTCTCTGCCACTCCCATGCCCTCTCACGCCCTTTCACACACATGCCCACTCACCCCTGTTTCATGCGCCACCCTTCTCGCCAGCTCCGACCCCCGCTGAAACCGGATAGACGGGCGCTTCTTGAGGCTCAAGCAGAGCGCCAACAGCGCGTCCACTGAGCGCTCAGCCACCCTCTGTGTGTTGTGCAGGTCGACAGTGGCGGAGACGAAGGAGTAGACGTTGAGAGGCACGTGCAGCGTGAAGTGATAGGCGTCCAGGGCAAAGAAATCCAAATAGTACTCCTGAAGGATGTGGAGGTTGTGGGGGGGGGGGAGGGGGAGGAGAGGAATTGCAGACAGACACTGACTTGTTGAGAGGCACGCGCAGGGTGAAGTGATACGCGTCCAGAGCGAAGGAATCCAAATAGTACTCCTGAGATTGTGGGGTAGGGGGAGGCGTGGAGGGAAGGAGAGAAGGGGAGACGGGTCATGGGAACAGGGAGACGAAGGAGTGCAGGGTGAAGTGACATGCGTCCAGCGCAAAGAAATCCAAATAGTACTCCTGAGGGGTGGGGGTGGCGGGGTGGGGAAGAAGAGGGGGTGAGGGAGGTTCTGTGTTTGCCTCTCTGCCTCTCACCTGCACTTGCTTTCACCGCGCCAGTCAGGCATCCACTGAAAGGCACTGGTAACCACTCTGTTCTGTTACCCAACTTCACTTGAAACCCGTCTGCTCTCTCACCTGTACTTGCACCACTGCCTCTTGTGCGTCCGCGTCAGCAAGAACATGGATAAGTGTGTTGTTGAGAATGTTGGTGAAGACTGAAGGGGAGGATGAAGTTGGGGGAGTAGGGGGAGCGGGGAGGGGGGAGAGGGGGTCATTTGAGTTTACTCAAAATGCGTGACAATCTTGGAAACGTGGATGTTGAGTTAACCATCAATTTCAACGAAAACGTGGATTTTGGTGACTGAAAAGAGGGAGGAGAATGAAGTGTATGTCCTGCTGAGTCGGCTAAATTCACTAACCAAGTGATAAGCAAGACTTTTCACAGTACCAGTGCGTTTCTATCCCACTAACCCAGAACTCACCCCCCTCGCTATACTCACACAGATGGTACTCCCCGAATCTGGGGTTCCTAAGGTGCCGCTTTAAGTGGTTCGCGTTCTCCCCAGTCGGCCTTAGGATGCACACGGCTTTAAGATGTGGCATAGGCTCCGCTCCGCTCCCCCCTGACTCTCCCCTGCTGCCGCCCCCACTGCCGCTGCTGCCGCTGCCTCCTTTAGAGTCAACCTTCTCTACAAGAACGACGTCGCGGTGGAGAATCTCGGATTGCGTTAAAACGAGGCTGACTATAGGCAGCTGGAGATGGACGGTCAGGATCGCAGGAGAAGGGGGACGGGGATGGTGAAGGGAAAATGGGGAAAAGGGGGAGGAAGAAGGTGGAGAGGGTATGGAGGGGGTGTGGGAAAGGAGGTGAGAGGTGTAAGGGAAAGGAAGGCGGCGAGAGAGGGGGAGGGGAGTGGGGAGGCCAGGGGAGTGAAGAGAAGGGAGGGGAGGTAGAAGAAGAGAAGAGGGGCAGAAGGCGGAAAGATGTGGAGGCGGTCAATATCGGGGATACGCGTGAAAAACAGCCATCAGGCGATGAGTATGAAGACGAAGCTCAACGTTTCACAGCAGTCGGACAGACGTGTAAGTGAAGGCGATCTACTTTTGGCTGAGGTGACTTTTGAAGTCGACTCAAAGGAGCACAAGAGTCCTGACGCACCTACATACGCGTGACGGATTCAGTTTGATTGACGTCACCTACCGTTTCTGCGTCAAGAATCAAGACTTTAGGCCCGCTGACGTCGTTGAGAATCTTGTTGACGTAATCACGAACCGCAGCTATCAGCACCATATTGGCTGCTTCGCGTGATCAGCTTATAACGAACAGTTGGTGTACGACTTGGAACTGGTCTTTGTATGTACGGTTGAGATCGTTATGTGAGAATCGTGTATGTAACGGTTATGTTTTCTTAGCGAACGAGTTTCCTGGCCGTAAGAAGCACGTTGCTTACGAAGATTCGATATCCTGGGGTCAAGGACTGTCTAGTGAAGAAGGTCGAGCACCTAACAACGTTACACTTGCTGTGAACGGACAAACGGTCGATTACTGAACAGAGCTATCTGAGGTAGCACGTCGACGGATGTCGAGCAAATCGGCCTGGCACAATACCAAAATTCGTTTCTAGATGTCGTCGCGACGAGACACTAGTACGTCAGCGTATAAGCGTCTGAGCAACACTGGAACAACGGGAGCGATTGGGCAGGCTCAGATGTCACAGCACCAGACTCACTCCAAACCGAATTCTACCATCCAGGCTCATCAGTTTCGGAAGTCCCTAGATTCTAAAAACATCAAGGTTCTTGAGAGCGTGTTTATAGATACGGTTGACCGACCCTGAGCTCTCGATCTGTAAGCGTCTAGTGAGATAAGCGTAGAAAAAAATGGTTCACAAGGATCCGCACCAAGCGAGACTGGTTCTGGTGGAAGAATATCGCTACCTGATATTGTTTCAAACACGCTCGAGCTTCAAAGCACAGCGATAGTGCTTGGAACGGTGGGGTGGCGGAAAACGGACGCGGGAAGTTCGTCTGACACAACACAAACCCTCTAAAGGCTGATTCGACTATAGGGTAAACTTACCGAGAATGTCCGCATTGTACAAACGATACTCTAGATGTCTATAGCTCTCCACATCAGCAGGATGAATCTGAGCTCCTCGGGCATTCATCTCGACATATTCGACATTTTGGGTGCTATTTCGAACTCCTACCGCACCTCACATTAACGCTGCACGGCCATGCGCCTTACACGTACACTGCTATCACCAGTGTTCCGCGTGCATAGCCTCGGTAACTCTGCTGCATTGCTACGTGTCGATCAGCGGGCATTCCCGACTAACATGCTCAGAACCAAGCCTAGTGCCATTCTTACCACCAAGCCCAGTTCCAGGCCTAGCACCGAACCTGACAACCAGCCTTGACCCAAACCAACACTGCACGCTCGCGCCTGTTGGCCCGAAGCCATGATCGCACCACGGATCGCGTCACGCGCGGCTCGGCGGGTGCTGGGTACAAGTGGCGTTCCTCGCATTGTGTCAGCATCCGATCTGGCTAACGTGGTTGACGTGTCTCGCGTGCCGCCGTCAGCATCAGATCTGACTGACGTGGCGGACGTGTCTCGCGTGGGTAGCATGCCACAGTCAGCTGCAGATCTGGCAGGCGTACGGCCGATTTTTGCTGCCCGTGCGTGTTCGTCCGCGTTACAGGCATCTACGGTACCTGCAGCCGGGATCCTACCATCGACTCTGATGTCGCCGTTGACCGGGGGGTCAACTCATTTGACTTCGTTGACTTCGTCAACCCCGTTGACTCCGTTGACTCGGTTGACTCAGACACGCGGGTCGCAGTTCGCGTCGGGGTTCTCCATGCCGCAGCCGAAGCGCCTCGAGGAGATCATGTCGGTGGACGCGCTGCGAGCGTGCGCGCCCGAGGAGATCGCCGCCACGTGGAACAACGTACGGCGCACGCGGAACTCGTAATTGGCAAAACCGTGTGTAACGAATCCGCGTTATATGCAGACTTGACTCAGAATCTCCAGCACCAACTGTGCCGCACGCACGTTAGCACAAATATTCCCTTCAGCCCTTTTGGGACGCCTGAGTGGGGTCAAGTGTAGAGAGGTTATTTTTGAGACGTCTCAAAAATTCCCTTGAGCCCTTTTGGGACGCCTGAGTCGGGTCAAAAGTCACCCTTTTTCTCTCCTCTCCCATTCGCAGCACCACTTGGGTCGCACACACGTCAGCACTGTGATTTCCGCCGCTGCTTTTGAGACGCTTCAGCACCGAGCGAGAGTGTGGTGAGTGCAGGGGCTGTGCTACAGCTACTGCTACAGCTGCGAAACATGTGTGCTGGAGCCGTTTATTGCAATCATCGATTCTTGCTGCTGCTTTTGGGACACTGTAACACTGAGGAGGTGCGGTGAGTGGAGAGGTTGTGGGGCAGTCGGTTAATGGGGGTTGAAAGGGATGGTATTCGGTGGATGGGGGAAAGTGCGTGTGCATGCACCTATACCTGTATGCCCATGCGTTTGGTATGGATTGACTACGGTCTGCCCATGAAAAATGTTCATGCTATCATATCCCTTCCCTCTTTCCTCCCCATCTTTCCTCCTCAACTTCAAGTTTTCCCTCTCCTCACCTATCCTGCTCTTCCCCCACCGCCCCAGCCCCATGTTTGTGCTGCCAGTGGCTAGAGACAAGGGATTCGTGTTGTCAGCTTCTACCTCTCGCCCTCCACTCTCTCCCCCTCAGACACACTCCCTTTCTCCCCCCATTGCCCCTCTCGCCCCCCTGCCGCAGCCCCATGTTTGTGCTGCCAGTGGCTAGAGACAAGGGATTCGTGTTGTCAGCTTCTACCTCTCGCCCTCCACTCTCTCCCCCTCAGACACACTCCCTTTCTCCCCCCATTGCCCCTCTCGCCCCCCTGCCGCAGCCCCATGTTTGTGCTGCCAGTGGCAAGAGACAAGGGATTTGTCACCATGCTCGCACAAGGTAAGATGACATTCAAACCATGTTGGTTTGGGTCTCGCTTCGTCCCTTTCTTTTCTCGCGTCGTTGCACTTCCCCCCCTCGTTATAATCACAGCTCAGGTGTCCCACGTCCTCTTGTCTGGCCTGAAGAATTTCAATGTTCAGAGCCTCTGTGCAGCAATTCACCCTTCTTTACATTCACATTCACCATGTTCACTGCATATCTCCCTTTTTATTTTTCCCCTCGTTACAATCACAGCTCAGATGCCCCACCTCCTCTTCACCGGTTTGGAGGACTTCAAAGTCCGAGGCCCCTCTGCAGCACCGTTCTTTACAGTCACACACTACCCAGACCTAGCAGCTGAGAAAGGGGTGGTTCTGGTTCGAGGAGATGTGGTTCTGCCAAACAAGCTTAGCGATGATGAGGTGAGTCATTACAGTAGGGTGTTACAAACAGGAAGCACAATGTGGTGAACGAGAAAACGTTGAAGCTCTTACAGTCACACACTACCCCGACCCAGCAGCGGAGAAAGCGGTGGTTCTGGTGCGCGGGGATGTGGTTCTGCCGAACAAGCTGAACGATGATGAGGTGAGAAGACAGCACACCACAGCGCACTAGGGTGCTATGGACTGGGAGCACCAGGTAGTGTGTGAGTCGACACAGAAGAAGTCAAGTTCCCCTACCCACCTAGCAGCTGAAAAGGGGGTGGTTCTGGTCTGGGGAGACGTGGTTCTGCCGAGCAAGCTCAGCGATGATGAGGTGAACATGCTGCACTGTCACAAAACTGAGACAAAAGTGTGTAGGAAGTAAAACGAGGGGTGGTTCCTGTTCGAGGAGACGTGGTTCTGCCGAGCAAGCTTAACGATGATGAGGTGAGAACACAACACACGGGGAGCTATGGGTGGTCTTGGAGGTTTAAGACAAAAGAACGTAGCTTCCAGTGTGTTATGTAACCTGAGAAGACAACTACGGACAATTTTGTGGACCTACAGACGACAATTACAGCTGAGAAAGGGACCCTTCTGGTCTCCCTTGTAAGGCTGACCACAACCTTGCTGAATGAAACTCCTGGTTCTGGTTTTCACGTTACAAGCTCGGGCGCTATTAAAAGATCTACACTATTTCTACACTCGGGACTCACGTTATTTTACCATGTAGTTTATAATAAGCGTCTCTGACTGGATTCGATACCTGCTTCCACGTTCCCCGTTACAGGCTCGGGCGCTTCTAAGAGATCTACACATTTTCTACACCGAGAGCTCCCGCTATCACCATGTAAGAGGCGTTCAATAAGCGTCCTTTTCTGAATGATGTCCTGCTTCCGTGCTCCCCATTACAGGCTCGGGTGCTTCTTAAAGACTTGCACTCTTTCTATGCTGACGACTCGCGCTATCGGCATGTAGAGGCGTTCAATAAGCGGCCCGAGGAGTTTGATTATCGTGCTGTTGTCAGGGCACTCGGAATTGTTGCTGCCGGCTGGTAGGAATTTAGGAAGGTTTGTCTCTGGATAATTGACCATTGAAGTGCTTATAGCATCATGTACGGTAGATGCGCTCCACAAGTGACTCGAGCAGTAGTTGCATGTGGGTTGAAAGGTTCCTCTCTGGGTAATAAATGAGTACCTTATGCTGTTGTCACTAGAAGCTTTTGACGAGTGGTGAGAAACAGGTGAGGGCATCTGTTTTTAGCACAAGCCACGCACCGCAAATCTGCAACTTGTGGTTTTTAGGTCCACCAATGCTATTTCAGCGTATAAACAACACACTTTCACTTATATACAGCGTTTCAAAAGTGTACCATGTTGCTACATACAAGCATGCAGGTGATTCTAGAAGTCAACCCCACAGGACTGGGGCTGGGCTGACCTAATGTGGTAGTAGGCCTGCTGCTGGTGGTGATTGGAGGATGACACGGGCAACAGTCATCCTCCAATCCTCTTTACAGTGCGACCAGCTAACACCAGCTGGCCCAGTCTCCCATCCTCTTTACAGAGCGACCAGAAAACTGAAGAGTTGACTCCATAGTCACTAACGTGCCGGTGCCCACCTTGTGCGGTAGTAGTAATGTGCGCGGTGGTGGTGGGAAGATGACGAGGGCCAATACCCCCACCAGCTGCCCCATCCTCCCCTGTACTCGTTATTGTACGGCCCGAAATAAGGCCCAGCGCCGCAGCCACCATTGGCAGCAGAAGCACCAGCAGCAGCGTATCCCCCATGAGCATTACACCCACACACAGCCGCAACAAGATCGAAAACAGGCGAGAGCAAGAGGTCGAAGGGGAACGGCAACGAAACACCGTGGTACACCCAGGAGCGAAGCGTGAAAAAGACAAGTCCCGAGAGGAGGAATGAGAAAAGGAGGAGCGCGAGGAGGAGGAGCGAGAGCGGGAGCACCAGCTTGCGTGGGTTGCGGTAGAGGGAGCGGATTCGCGGGCGGAGGGAGGGAAATCGGCTGTCCAGGTGCAGGGTTAACTGGTGGAGGTGGGGTTTGAAGGGGAGGTACATCTGGTGCAGGTGGTGCAGGTGGGGAGTGATGGTGGTGAGGGTGTGGGAGAGCCGGCCGGACGAGAGGGAATCTGCTGCGTGCCAAAACGCCGCCCACTTGTTAGAATCCTCTGACTGGGTTGAATGGGTTGACTCGTTGGTTGACTCAGTTGACTGAGTTGACTGGGTTGACCTGCCTGTGTCAGCTCCTCCACTCGCCCCTGCTTGATTCTCCTTCCCCACTTGATTCAGTTTGAGTGAGAGGCTAGAGAGGTGCATTACCGAGCCAAGCAGAGCTTCGACAGAGGTAGGGCAGAGGGTAGGGGCTGGTTCTAGCTCCGTGCTGATGCTGCTGTTTCTGCTGTCAGGTGATTCCTGCACACCTGATGGTTCAGGTACCTTCTCATTCTCTGGTGCGTTGGCAGGTGCAGGTGAATCCAGCTCGCCAGGAGGTTTCAGCGAGGGAATGGAGATTATGGGCCAGGAGGCGGGGAGATGCAGCGAGGAGAGCAGAAAGGAGCGGCAGTGGGAGAGGGCATCAGGTGAGAGGGAGTGGGGGTCGAGGAGTGCAATGGGAACGCCATCTTGAGTGTCTGAAAAGGTAAAACACGGATGGGCAAGGGCAGGAGCAAAGGAGAAAAACGGGTTCAGAGGGGAGAAAGGGAGCAGTAAAAGAGGTGAGCCTTGTAACAACAAAACAAAAAAGGCGTCCGTTAGGGGGACAATGAATACAGACAAAAACAAGGGGGGTGCCAGAATCCAGAGCCATAAATCGAAACGCAAGACTAATGAATTAACTCCTGGCATCTAAAAGGCATTCACTCAGAGGCTTACATCGAAACGCGAGACGCAGCAGATCGAATTGCCCCTGCAGCTGCTTCACACGCACAGCAGCAGTCAAATCTCGCCCCCTCTCCACCCCCTCGTCCCCTTCCCCGTTCCTTTCACACAGCAGCAGCCGAAGAGCGTTCAGGTCCGTTGCAGAGAGCACAAGCACAGCCGCTGAGACGTGCAGTGGTGGCACTGGATCGGAAAAGGAAGAGCTGGTGGCTTCTGCGGATGACGTGGCAGCGGCATCACCAGCAGCATCACCACCAGCACCAGCATCACCAGCAGCATCACCACCAGCATCACCAGCAGCATCACCAGCAGCATCACCACCAGCATCACCACCAGCATCACCACCAGCACCAGCACCAGCATCACCAGCAGCAGCATCATTCCCAGCAGCACCATCAGCGGGCAGTGCCTCAAATCCAGACGTGAGAACATGCGTTATTAGAGCATCTGTTGCTGCAGGGGCAAATGGCACCACCACCAGAGAGGAAGGCAGTTCCCCCACAACTGGCAGCACCCTCAAAGAGCCTTCTCCTAGAGCAGCCCTGAGCAGCAGCGGAGCGGGGGAGGTGGCACCTGGGGGCAGTACATCTGCCGCATTTCCTCCAAGAGCAGGCTTGAAAAGCAGAGGAGAGGAGGAGGTGGTACCTGCGGCGTGCAACAGAGCGCCAGCCAAGCGCCGAGCCAGCTTCGCCTGGTAATTGCTGCTTGCAGCAACAGCACCAGAGGAAGAAGCGTCAGAGGCAGCAGCAGCGGCAGCAGCGGCAGCAGCAGCAGAGAGATCTGCTTCCACCAGCAGTAACACGTTTTTCTCCTTCTTCTCATCCTGCCAACCACTTGCAGCAGCACCCTGCGATATCTCACTTCCTTCGCAAGCGTCGTCCTTCAAGACCTTTCTCGCGATTCCCTCACTTCCCTCCCCTTCCTCGGCAACAGCGTCAGAGACATCAGACGCAGCAGCAGCAGCGTCAGTGGCATCAGAGGCGCCAGCACAGGCTACAACCGGAACAACAACCAGCTCCTCACCAGCCGTCTCCTCAGCTACCAGCTGACCGTCAGCTGTCACCTCAGCCGTCAATTCAACTGTCAATTCGGCCGTCAGTTCAGCCGTCTCATCACGCTGCTTAACCGGCTGGTGGCTGTCAACGGATGAAGTATCGGGCACATCAGCGTGTTCCACGTCAGCAGGAGGGGAGTCGACGTCAGGTGCAGAGAGGACGTCAGCAGGTGGGGATATAACGTCAGCAGAGAGGGATTCAACATCAGCAGGCGGGGATTCAACATCAGCAGGCGGGGTATCAACGCCAGCGGGCGGGGAGTCGACGTCAGCAACCACACTGGCGCAGAGAGCACACGCGTCGCCTGAAATCTCGATACCATCAGAAACCGGGACTTGTAATCCGTGCTCCAATCGCTCCGCATCCTGAACTTCTGACTGTTCCGTGTCCACCTCTTCCGACTGCTTTCTTTCCTCGTCTTCTGGTCGTTCCGTGTCCGAGTGTTCACTGTCTGATCCTGATGGCGGCAGCGGCAGCAATTCCCAAGACGCCTCCACGCCTCCCTCGCCTTCCTCGTCCCCCTCGCGCACGCGCGGCGGCCATTTTCCTGGGAGGAAACAAGGAAGGGGGGGGGGGGGGACAGGAGGAGGATGAGCAAACGTGCAGAGGGGTCTGGAAAAGAGCGTATACTGCACTATATAAGCTACGAAAACAACAGACAGGCAAAAAATGGACACTTAAAATTGAAACATAACAGTCCAAAGCGTGGGACCTAGCAAAAACCGGGAACAAGCACATCGTTGGATTGTGGCGAAGCTTAAATGGCCTAAACTTCGTAATTCGCAACTCCAAGACTTTAAAGTAAATGGAAATAGTAGTCGACTCACCTCCACCCATGGCGCTCCACAAGAGAATCTGAAGTCGTCGACCAACGGTAAGCTGAAAACACGGCTAAAGAAGAATAGGCTAACGTGTCTAACAAACCCTCCCTCAACCACCTAAGCCGTCGCAAGCGGAAGTCCAAATTGACCAGGAACTGCTGTTTCGGGACGTACTAAAAAGGTGTGGAGCACTACTGACTTACAGGAATGCCATCCTGAGGCGTGAATTAGGAGGTGCTTTGAAAAAATCCTCACTGCGTGGTAAGGCTTGGCACATATCGCCCTCAACCTTTCTGAACCACACAGAACCGCGTACAAACCTAATAAACGTTTCAAATTCATGCCCTCTTCAAATACTCCACATGCACACCACACAGAACCTCTCGCCCTGCAACCTTCCATGCAGTGCAGCTCCGGCAAGGCAGGTCTGGTGTGGCGAAACTCACGGCATTCTCCATCGGACGGTCAAGATGAAAGTAGCTGTCGTTTCGATGATATCGACGCGCGCGACATGTGGTCATGGATTTCGCAAAAGGTTCGGCGATAAGGTCCTTGGCTCGGATGTGCCGAACCATCACTTGTTGGGTCACCCGAGATTCCCGTTGTGCTGTGATTGGCTCCATATGACGTAAATTAGCACGCTCGACACGACTTGCGCCAATGGATTGCGTTTCCTTCCCGTCAGCATCGAGGCTCGATGCAAGACGACTCGTCATACGTTACGTTACGACGGTACAACAAATTGCATGTATCATCAGCCAATCTAAGATTCTACTTCATATACCCCGCAAGAGTGATGACACAGCCGGATGGAGAACTGTACTGTAATACCCGAAACGTTGCTCAGGTACCTGGTTTCAGATTTGAACTGAAGACAAGTGCTTACAATGTATCCTGGAAATGCATACCTACACTGTTTTAGCCTCCACCATTACATGTCATGGGTCAGAGTCATGAGTCATGACTTATGACTCATGATGACGAAGACTCTCTACCCACAGCCTCCAAATTATCTATAGAGATGCTTCTTGCAACATCTGCCATGTCGGTGGAGCGAGCTGAGTACTCGGCTACAAGACGCGAAAACATGGATGTCTTATCCTCCAGGAGCTTGGCCGGCTCGTCACACTCTGCTACAGTGCCTGCATGGGTTAGCGGATGAGGTAGATACGCAAATGTTTACTTACACATGTGCATGTATGTAAGAAAAAACGGAATACAAGTTGTGTTCACACGTGCACTGATGAAACAGGAAGCATGCACTCTATCATATTATCAACTCCGGTGATCACCCTTGCTCCATTACCACAACTTTATTACTGCCGATAACCGTGGGAATCTGATGCGCAATGTCTATGCACAAAAGAAATAAACATGTACACATAGAATAAACCATCACACTCACCTTGGTCCATGACAACCACTTTATTGCTGTCGATAACCGTGGCGATCCGATGCGCAATGCTGATGATGGTGGCATCTCCAAAGCACTCCTTGATCGTCCGTTGGATCACTGCATCGGTCGCCGAATCAACGGACGCCGTGGCTTCATCGAGCACGAGAATGCGAGTGCGCTTCAGCAGGGCCCTCCCGAGACAGAACAGCTGCCTCTGCCCCACACTCCAGTTCTCCCCTCCTTCCACCACTGGGGAGATTTGTTAGCATGGGAAAACGGATGCAGGAAGAAGTATAGGAAGATTAGTGAAGGGAGGGGTGGATGGAGGGGGGAAAGGAAGGGGAAGTTCACTGGCCTCACCTTGTGTCTCCAACTTGTCATCCATGCCACAAACCATACTGCTTTTACCTTCAACCCTAACCTAAGGCTTCCACACTTCACCCTTTTCCCCTCTCACCTTGCGCCTCCAGCTTCTCTTCCATGCCACGAACCACCTCCCCCAGTTGGCACCTGTCCAGCGCCTCTCACAACCATATTTCAACCATAATGAATCTACATCCTTCCCCTCCAACCATACTATTCCAACTCTCACCTTGAGCCTCCAGTTTTTCCTCCATGCCACGAACCACCTCCCCCAGTTGGCACCTGTCCAGCGCCTCCCAGATCTCCTCATCCCGATACTCCCCCGCCGGATCCACATTCATCCTCTGCAACGACTTTACCCTCAGTAGCTTCACGCCTCACCTTGCATTTCAGCATCATCCCTCTCCTTACTTCACACTTCAGCCTTCCTGATCTCACCGTGAGCCTCCTTGACCATCAGCCACACAGTCTCACCTTGAGCCTCCAGTTTTTCCTCCATGCCACGAACCACCTCCCCCAGTTGGCACCTGTCCAGCGCCTCCCAAATCTCCTCATCCCGATACTCCCCCGCCGGATCCACATTCATCCGAACCGAGCCTTGGAACAGGGTCGGGTCCTGAGGTATAATCGCGAGCCTGCTCCTCAGGTCCGTCAGCCCGATCCTGCTGGTATCCACCCCATCTATCACCACCCGACCCGCCGTCGGCTCGACAAGCCGAAACAGAGCGACGACAAGCGTTGATTTCCCGCTGCCGGTTCTCCCGACCACCCCGACCTTCTCTCCACCATTGATCTGCAGACTCACGCCTTTGAGAACCAATGGGAGGTCCGGCCGGTACCGGATTTGGAGGTTTTCGAAGGTGATTGCGCCACGGTCGGGCCAGGAGGATGGAGGGCGGTGGGATGGGATGGAGAGCGGTGCTTCGGGGTGCACGTTGGGTTGGGAGAACTGGAGAATTCGCTCTACGGAGACCATCTGGTTCTCAAGCGCGCACCACACCCACACCACGTAGAATAGACCTTGGGAGAGGGCGAGACCATATGACAAAGACATGCCCGCTAAACCTGTTTGAGAACAGATAATGGTAGTGAGGGGGAAAAGGGAGGGAAAAGGAGGAAGGGAGGCAAGAAGAGAAAGGCACGAGACATGGGCACGTTAGGGTGGGAGAAGTGGAGGATTCACTCGACTGAGACCATTTGGTTCTCAAGCGCGCACCACACCCACACCACGTAGAATAGGCCTTGGGAAAGGGCGAGGCCATACGACAGAGACATGCCCGCCAGACGTGTTTGGTAAAAAGGGAGAAGGGAAGGGAAAACAGGAGGATATGGTATATAGGAGAGGGCACACCAGACCCACACCATGTATAATAGGCCTTGAGAGAGGGCCAGGCCGTACGACAGAGACATGCCTGCCAGACCTGAGGGGGTGTGGGGTAAGCAAGAGAGTTAGGTATGTGGAAGCATCTAATCTCAAATGCGCACCAGACCCACCACACGTAGAAAAAGCCTCAAGAGAGGGCCAGGCCGTAGGAGAGAGACAAACAGGTCTGTGTGCGTGTGTTGTTACCTGGAGCAATGACTGAGGGGGGCAGCCACACGAGTGAGAGTGCAGAAAAGCACAGCAACAGCGCTCCCAGTAACTCCAAATGCACCCCCAGCCACACGGTGCATGCACCATAGTGGAACGCCACTCGGTTGTTGGACTGTTTGTTGCTGGAAAATGGCTGGATGCTAGGGATTGTCTGTGCTTACCTGGCGAGATCACCGAAGGAGGCAGCCACACGAGCATGAAAGCCGAGAAGCACAGCAACAACGCCCCTAGCAGCTCCAGATGCACCCCCAGCCACACGGTGCATGCGCCGTAGTGGAAGGCCACTCGGTTGTTGGTGTCAACGCGCTCGGAGCTCTTCAATGCGAATCGAGGTTGTTGCGCGAACGCTCTGATCACTGCTGCTCCTGACAGGGACCTGAGGGTGGGCGGCAGATTCGGGAGGGATTTGGTGAAAGGGACAAAGAAAAGGGGAGGGGACAGGGAGGTGCTGGTTCAAATGATGAAGGCCACCGGCCGAAACGCGCGTACGCTCAGGTTTGAATGACAATTTTCCTATGCTACAAAGAAAAGGGGAGGGGACAGGGAGGTGCTGGTTCAAATGATGAAGGCCACCGACACGGTGCAAGCCCCATAGTGGAAGGCCACTCGGTTGTTGGCGGCTCGGAGCTCTTCTGAGCGAATCTGGGCTGCTGGGCGAACGCTCGGATCACTGCTGCCCCTTACAGGGACCTGGGGGAGAGAGGGGAAAGGGGTGTGGTGTCGTGTGTGGGGGAATGTAGGCCACTCTGTTATTTGTTGGTACCACTCGGCACTTCTTTGAGCAGATCAGGGCTGGTGGGTGAGCGCTCGAATCAAGCACAACCTGAGGTTCCGGGTGTAAAGCAGACGTGAACCTGAAGCGTCACAACCTACACCTCAAAGGGCGAGAAGGCCGGCTCTTACTCTCTGAAACGCTCGATGATGGGTGCCTTGGTGACTCCGTTGAACTTGAGACAGGAGGCATCTCTGTCTTGTGTGCTGAGGTGCTCACATACTGACCTTTCAGTCAACTCAAAAGACAAGAGGCATTTCTCTCTTACTCGCTGAAATGCTCGATGATGGGTGCCTTGGTGACTCCGTTGAGACGAGAGAGCTCCCTTGATGTCATTAGATAATACTCCTGAGAGGGGGGGGGACAGTAGAGGTACGCTAGTGGGATAATAGCGTAGAACACGGGCGATGTGATGAGGGATGATGCAGGTGCTATATGAGTCCGCTATGATACAGGTCAGTCTCTACTGGGGTAGGTGTTACCTGGAAGGAGAAGTACAGGTACGCCAGTGGGATGATGGTGTAGAACACGGGCCATGTGAAGAGGGATGACGCATGGCCAGTGGGATGATAGCGCAACACGGGCTATACGAGTGATCTATTATACAGGTCAGTCTCTACTGGAGTAGGTACCACCTGGGGAAGGTGCTACCTAGGATAGGTCTCACCTGGAAGGAGAAGTAGAGGTGATGTAGAGATACGTCAGAGGGATAATAGCATGGAGCACGGGCCAGGTAATGTAGGCAGTGAGTTCCATGTGTGTTCTATGCTAGTTTTGTGTGACCTATCAACCAGTCTCTCACACCCACCTGGAAGGAGAAGTAGAGGTACGAGAGAGAAGCGTAGAACACGGGCCACGTGATGTAGGATGTGATATGAGGGCTATGTGGGGCAGGTGGTAACTGTGTTAGAAGCGTTACATGTGTTACGGGTGTTACCAGTCTATCCCTCTCTCACCTGGAACGAAAAGTAGAGGTATGTCCGGGGGATGATGGCGTAAAAAACGGGCCACGTGATGTAGGAGGTGAGTGGGTAGGTGCCATGTGTTCTCTGTCCTAGTTTCGTGTGACCTATCTGTCTCTCTATCTCACCTGGAAGGAGAAGTAGAGGTATGTGAGAGGGATGATAGCGTAGAACACGGGCCAGGTGATGTAGGATGTGAAAGTTGCACTGTATAAGTGAATGAGGCTGTGAGACTGTGAGGCTGTGTTAAACTGGGGTAGGTCTCACCTGGAAGGAGAAGTAGAGGTACGTGAGAGGGATGATAGCGTAGAACACGGGCCAGGTGATGTAGGATGTGAAAGTTGCACTGTATAAGTGAATGAGGCTGTGAGACTGTGAGGCTGTGTTAAACTGGGGTAGGTCTCACCTGGAAGGAGAAGTAGAGGTACGTGAGAGGGATGATAGCGTAAAACACGGGCCATGTGATGTAGGATGTGACAAAGAGAATCCCAAGCAGCTGGAAAACCATGGCGAGGAGAGACCCAAACTGAAATGGCAGGTCCAAGTCGAGAGCACTTTGGTCTGTGGAGGCCTGGACACAGAGGGGGAGCGCGGTGGTGGTGGGGGGGGGATGGGCATGGGGAATCAGACAGGGCGCAAATGGGCAGGGGATTAAATGGGGAAAAGGGAATAAGGAGTAGGTGACGAAGAGGATCCCGAGCAGCTGGAACAGCATGGCGAGGATAGAGCCGAACTGAATTGGCAGGTCCAAATCGAGTGCGTTCTGATCTGTGGAGGCCTGGACTTAGACTTGGGGGACGGGAAGTGGAAAACGGGGAACGCGGAGAAGAGAAGGTGACGAAGAGGAGGGTCTCGACTCGAGAGCAGTTGAGCGAGGAGGAAGTCGAAGTCTTAGATTTCCCTGGGAGTGCTCTGGGGGTGCCCTGGACCCCAGACAGACAGAAAGCACTGGATATCTCTTAGATTTCCCTGGGAGAACAGGAAGTGCTTCGGAAGTGCTCTGAGGGTGCCCTGGACCCCAGACAGACAGAAAGCACTGGATATCTCTTAAGCATGTGCACGTACCGGGGATAAGATATGTCCTGTAGGAGTGGCAGAGAAGGACATGGGCGCACGGAACACAGACCGCAGCATGTTTCGGAAGAACGCTCAAGTGGTCCTGACCTGGCGTGATGACAGGCAGGGGTACCAACCTCGCTGGCACTCCAGGCTCAGACTTATGGATGGGAGTATGGTTCTGATGCTGTCAGGACGTACCCTGGACAAGATTCGCCTGATGGGAGTGGAGTCAAAGAAGGACATGGGCGCTCGGAACACGGTCTGCAGCATGCTTCGGAAGAACGCTTGGGTGGTCATCATCCCCCCATGATATGACTGCTGTTCGCAGCAGCACAAACACGCCGCTGCCCAGAGCTAATAACGAGTATAGCTTCATGAAGGCTGAAGGGGTGATGGCTGAGGGGGCGAGGAAGGAGAGAGGGGAGGAGTAGGAGGAGGAGAGTGAGGAGGAGAAGGATGGGGTGAAGGAGGAGGAAAGACTTGAGGCGAGAGGAGAGGAGAGTGGAGAGGTGAGGTTGCTGAGAATACTGTTGCTGAATTCGCCCCCTGCTGACGTGTACCCAACCACTGCTGACGTGTACCCTGCTTCTGCTGAGCTGTTCCCAGCCCCTGCTGAGCTGTACGTGGCCAGCCACAGGTCAGATCCGATCTGCAGCGCCTGCCACGCCAGCTGTACCAGCAGCAGCAGTGGCACGTGCCAGCCGCCCATCGCTTTCGTCATGTACTGCCAGTATATGGCCAAAGAAACCCGCCCGGATTCACGTTCTTCCTCACTGATCAACTGCCCATCCCCATCCCCCTCTGCTGCGCCCCCCCCAGAAGCACCAGAAGCAGCAGCAGCAGCACCACCAGACTCATCCACTTCCATATTCTCTAGAATCTGGTGGGATTCCGGGGATGCAGTGTGCAGCAGCATAGGGTCGGACAATTTCCGAAGCTGCGTGTGCGAGGCCTTGCGCAGCAGGTTCGGTTCCGAGCCTTTTCGCAGGTTCGGGGCAGAGGCTTTCCGAAGCTGCGAGAGGTGTGGGTTGCTGTGGAGAGGATCGGCGGGTTGCTTGGGGAGGAGAGGAGCGGACGAGGATGCGGAGGGTGCAGCGTGTGAGGTAGCAGCAGCAGCAGCAGGAGGGGAGGTCACAGAACCGACAGGAGGTGGGGCAGAGAAAGAAGCAGCTGCAGCTGCATCGGCAGCAGCTGCATCGGCAGCAGCAGCAGCAGCAGCGGCAGCAGTGGTAGCGGCAGCAGCAGTGGCAGTCCCAACACTCTCGAGGGCATCAGTATGTGCTTCCACGAGGGCAGAGAAGTCCGTTCCCTCTGCCAGCAGCTGGTCGTAGCGGCCTGACTGCACTATGCGCCCCTCCTTCATCACCTGCTCATGGGGCGGGAGGGCGTGTGAGACAGGGAGAGACGAGGGGGAGAGACAAGGGGTTAGTGAGTAAAAGAGGTGCCTCCATCCCTCCACGAGAGCACTGAAATCCGTGCCCTCTGCCAGCAGCTGGTCGTAGCGCCCTGACTGCACTATGCGCCCCTCCTTCATCACCTGATGATGGGAGGGGGGGGAGGGGGAAATGGGGGAAGGAATGGGGGATGTGTTTGAATGGAAGGGTCCAACACTCTCGAGGGCATCAGTGTGTGCTTCCACGAGGGCAGAGAAATCCGTGCCCTCTGCCAGCAGCTGGTCATAGCGGCCTGACTGCACTATGCGCCCCTCCTTCATCACCTGGTGGTGGTGGGGGGGAAGGGAATGGGTCGAGTGTGGGAACGGCGTCTGTAAAAGCTTCAGCAACAGTACCGTCGTTAATCAACTCGACTCGATGAGAAATCAATGCAGCGGCACTGCGCAAGGTTCACATGAGAACTTTGCAAAGCTGACGCGAGAAAAATGTCAGCCTCTCACCAAGATGAGGTCAGCAACTCACCAGGATGAGGTCAGCAGCTCACCAGGATGAGGTCAGCAACTCACCAGGATGAGGTCAGCAACTCACCAGGATGAGGTCAGCAGCTCACCAAGATGAGGTCAGCAACTCACCAGGATGAGGTCAGCAACTCACCAGGATGAGGTCAGCAACTCACCAGGATGAGGTCAGCAACTCACCAGGATGAGGTCAGCAACTCACCAGGATGAGGTCAGCAGCGGGAAGGAACTCCACTTGATGCGTCACCAGAATTACTGTCTTGCCTGCCAGGCCCTTGAGTACATACTCCTGAAAAAGGGGTGATGAGGGGAAAGGAGGAGGAACAGATGAGCCAAGGGAGTAAGGAGGAGGGCAATGCGGCAGTCAGCAGCAGCGGGAAGGAACTCCACTTGATGCGTCACCAGAATTACTGTCTTGCCTGCCAGGCCCTTGAGTACATACTCCTGAAAAAGGGGTGATGAGGGGAAAGGAGGAGGAACAGATGAGCCAAGGGAGTAAGGAGGAGGGCAATGCGGCAGTCAGCAGCAGCGGGAAGGAACTCCACTTGATGCGTCACCAGAATTACTGTCTTGCCTGCCAGGCCCTTGAGTACATACTCCTGAAAAAGGGGTGATGAGGGGAAAGGAGGAGGAACAGATGAGCCAAGGGAGTAAGGAGGAGGGCAATGTGGCAGTCAGCAGCAGCGGGAAGGAACTCCACTTGATGCGTCACCAGAATTACTGTCTTGCCTGCCAGGCCCTTGAGTACATACTCCTGAAGGAGAAGGCAACATGGGGGGAAGGACGAGTGAAAGGAGTAAGAAGTAGGGTTGGGGAGTAGGCAGCAGCGGGAAGAAATTCCACTTGCAGTCTTGAAGTGGAATCAAGAAATTCCACTTGATTCCACTTCAGTTTTCAGATTCTCGGTTTTTAACAGGGTCAATTTTTACTACTGACTATCATTTGCTAAAGATTTTTTCTAGACTGCAGCTCGCCTAAACAAGCTTCTAGGGAAGAAATTCCACTTGATGCGTCACCAGGATGACTGTGTTCCCGTCCAGGCCCGTTTTTCTTTCTCCTGAATGAAGGGTGACGGGACTGTACAAGGGGAAGGAGAATGGAGAAGCCACGTGTAATGAGGTTATTTTTGAGACGTCTCAAAAATAACCTCATTACACGTCCCTTCCAGGCCCTTTTTTCTTACTCCTGAATGAAGGGTGACGAGACGGTACAAGGGGAAGGAGAATGGAAGATGAGCGAATGGAAGGGAGACGGAGGAGGGATGAAGCAGATGAGGTGCAACAAGTGACTGACCACTCACTTACCAACGGTTCTGACCCCCAATGGCCCATCACAACCTCCCAGAACCCTCCACAACCCCCCAGAACCACCCAGAGAACGCCCCAGAACCCCCGACCCTCTCACCATGAAAAGCTCTGACCCTGAATGGGCGTCCACAGCACTGAACGGATCGTCCAGCAGGTAAACCTCCGCACCCATCCCCACCCCTGCATACATCGCCCTGGCCAGCTGGATCCTTTGCTTCTGCCCGCCGGACAAATTCACCCCTCTCTCCCCGATCTGTGTGTCGGCCCCCAGGGGGAAGAGGCGGAGGTCAGCGAGGAGCGAGCACACCAACTGACAACCCCACTCACCATGAAGAGCTCTGAACCGGTATGCGCGTCCACAGCACTGAATGGGTCGTCCAGCAGATACACCTCCGCACCCATCCCCACCCCTGCATACATCGCCCTGGCCAGCTGGATCCGCTGCTTCTGCCCGCCAGACAGATTCGCCCCTCTCTCCCCGATCTGCGTGTCAGCCCCCAGGGGGAAGAGGCGCAGGTCAGCGAGGAGGGAGCACTGGTGCAGCGTGTGGTGGTAGCGCGCGCGGTCTAGCGGCTGGCCGAACAGAATGTTGTCTCGGATGGTGGCGTTCTGAATCCACGCGGACTGGGGGACGTAGGCTGTGGGTCCTGACACAAACACCTGTCAAGGGGACAGGAGGGAAGGGAGGGATGGGAGGAAGAGGCGGAGGTCAGCGAGGAGCGAGCACTGGTGCAGCGTGTGGTGGTAGCGCGCTCGGTCTAGAGGCTGGCCGAACAGAATGTTGTCCCGGATGGTGGCGTTTTGGATCCACGCGGACTGGGGGACGTAGGCTGTGGGTCCTGACACAAACACCTGTCAAGGGGACAGGAGGGAAGGGAGGGATGGGAGGAAGAGGCGGAGGTCAGCGAGGAGCGAGCACTGGTGCAGCGTGTGGTGGTAGCGCGCTCGGTCTAGCGGCTGGCCGAACAGAATGTTGTCCCGGATGGTGGCGTTTTGGATCCACGCGGACTGGGGGACGTATGCCATGGGACCTGACACAAACACCTGAAGGGGGGCAGGGGGGATGAGAGGAAGAGTGAGAGTGAGAGTGTGTGTGAGGGAGAGGAAAAGGTTCATCCACACCTGCGTGTCTCCCCCCTCCCCTCCTCACAAGTAGGGGAGGCGCGAGAATTGGCTGACATTACGGCAGCTCTGGATGGTGGAGTTTTGGATTGGATCCACACGGACTGGGGCACGCACGCCATGGGATGGGAGGGACCGCCAGTGAAGACAAGGGCGGAAAGAGAGGTTCACCAATTTCTGTGATGTGATGTGAAGTGACACCCCAGAAGCTTTCGTTTACGAATTGGACACCTATCTGAGAAACCAGGACAGCAGAGACGACTTGCCAGCGCCCCCACAGAGGTGAATTTTGAGGCGCCTCAAAATACACTGAGAAACCAGGACAGCAAAGACGACTTGCCAGCGCCCCCACAGTGCAACACACTGCCACGCGCATGCCCCGCCCGCCTGTAGCGCCCACCATCCTCTCAAGCCTCTCAAACTGCAGAGCTCACCTTCCCTTGCAGTTTCGGCACCTCTCCCAGGATGCAGGACAGCAGAGATGATTTGCCCGCGCCCACGGTCCCACACACGGCCACACGCATGCCACGCCTGATCTCCAGGTCAACGCCAGTCAACGTGGACTTCTCATACATGGAAGATATAACTCACCTTCCCTTGCAGCTTTGGAACTTCTCCCAGGATGCAGGACAGTAAAGACGACTTGCCAGCACCCACGGTCCCACACACCGCCACGCGCATGCCACGCCTGATCTCCAGGTCAACGCCAGTCAATGTGGTCTTCTCTGGATCAGCATCCCAGCTGAAGATTCCGTTCTCAATCCTCACCACCACATCATCACCATCTCCTTCCTTCTTCCTCCCCCCCTCCTCTTGCTCCCCCTTCCCTATCTCCATCCCGTTCTCCATCCCCCTCTTCCCCTCCCCTTCCTGCTGCTCCTGGCTGATTACAACTTCCCCTCCACTCCCATCCCCATTCAGACGCTCACCATCCCTCTCCCCCTCCCCTCCCATTCCTCCTCCCGCTCCTCTCTCCACCCTCTCAACCGCATCCCACTGCAACTCCTCATCAGACAAAAACCTCGACAGCCTTTTCAACGACACCATGGCCTGCGTGACCGCGCTAATCACCGACGGGAACGACCTTAGCGGCTCCTGCAGAATCCTAAAAGTCGCAATCGCAGTGAAGACCGACGCCGGGGTAAGCGGCACACCGAGCGCCACCATCGTGCCGAAAGTCGCCACGGAGACCGCGAGAGGGGTCAGCCAGAGGAGGAAGATGTTTACTGCTGCGTAGGCCATGAATTTGACCAGCCAGGAGGCTTCGGAGTCGCGGAGGGATTGGATTTTGTCTTGGAATTGCTGCTGCCACGCGTACAGCTTGATGATCTTCATGGAGGAAAGGGCCTCAGAGGTGGCCTTCATGCGCGCGTCCTTGGCTGACATGATCTCGGTTATGAATCGGTGGATGCCGGAGGCTACTAAGAGATTGGCGAGCATGACTGCCAGCATCACTCCCAGACCGGAGAGCATGGATATGCCCACCACCTGCATGGGGATAGGGAGGGAGGGAGGGAGGCAGTGCTCATAGCTGAGATTGGCGAGCATGGATGCCAGCATAACGGCCAAGCCTTTGAGCATGGATATGCACACGACCTGCAAGGGAGAAGGGAGGAATTTGAGAGGATGCTGATGGGCACTACCTTTTGATATCCATAAAAAAACGACTCTCTACCCGCAATTTCTATATTGCGAGAGTGGCGGGGGGAATGGATTTACAGGACAATCATGAGAGGATGGCGATGTTACTCACGTGGAAGAGGATGACAAGGGCACAGACAATCTGCAGCGGAAGAACCCAAATGTTGTGCAACTCCCACATGAGATCCGCTAGACGCTGGAATGTGGCCCATAGAGGGGAGGAGGAAGGGGGGAGAAAAGGCAGAGGACATGAGCCATGCCGGGTCATGCCTTCATAGCACCCAGATGTTGTGCAAGTCTTACATGAGACCCGCTCGACGCTGTGAGGAGAGAGGGAAGGGGGAAAGAGGAAGAATGAGTAACGAGCATGGGAGAAAAAGAGAAATCAAGAATGGAAGCTGACACAGGGAACCACGCAGAAAAAGGGAACGGCAAGTGGCTGCTGGAGAGTTATTTTGCAGAGCTTTAAAAAGTCCCCGTCTTCTCCACCCATTTGTTTCCAAAGCAGCTTCCACTCACGATGCTCTTCCCTCCCACCCCTGCCATCACTTCAATTCCGCCTGTTCTGTCCACCCTTCCCCTGTAGAACCTTTCTATTCCCCCACTCACCCCTCTCCACCCCTTCGCACCTGAGCATCGGTTAACATGTAGTTCAGTTCACAATCTCCCCAATAGTGTGCCTCAGCTTGGTGCTTCACTCAATCCCTCTCACCCCTCTCACCCCTCTCGACCCTCTCACCCCTATCGCCCCTCTCCCCCCTCTCCACCCCTCTCTTCATCATCCCTTGTCAACCCTCTCCACCCCTTTGTACCTGCGCATCTGTCGACATGTAGTTCACAATCTCCTCAATCGTGTGTCTCTGCTTCGCCTTGCTACTTCACTTAAACCCTCTCCACCCCTTCATACCTGCGCATCAGTCGACATATAGTTCACAATCTCCCCAATCGTGTGTCGCTGCTTCGCCTTGCTGGACAATCGCAGCCCCTTGCGGTAAAGGGCGCCCACCAGCGCAGCTTTGATGTCCAGCCCAAGCACCTGGATTTTGGCACAGGGAACAGAGCAAAGGGTTTGGGGTTTAGGCAGTAAATAGAGTAAGAGGAAGCAGCAGCCCCATAGGGCGCTCCCACCAGGGATGATTTGATGCCCTGCCCCGTTCCAACATCCTTGCTCTCCTTCGTCTCATCCCGGATCTGAAGTTGAACTGGTGTTCCAGCACCAAAAAAAAACATACTGTGGGCATCAATTTGGGCTTACCTCGGATCGGAAGTTGAACTGGTGTTCCTACGATCTCAGACGCCTTGGACAGAAACAGCGCCAGCACGAGCAGCAGCAACCCCTCAACCTAGGGAATGATGAATGTGCCTGCTCAATGCTCTACTCACATGTACGCCCAGGAAATCCTTTCTATTCTCTCACCTCGGATCGGAAGTTGAATTGGTGCTCCAGCACGATCTCAGAAGCCTTGGACAGGAACAGCGCCAGCACAAGCAGCAGCCCCTCCCCCGGAAACACCCTCTTCCCCGCCGCAAACTGCACAAAGCTCGCGAGCAGCAGCGGCCCGGCATACATCACGCCCGTCTTGCCCAGCGCCAGCACTCCTGTCAGCACCAGCGGCCGCCAGAAGCACTCCCAGAGAGCTCTGGTAACCGTCGCTTTGGGCTGAATCTGCTCCCCCTCCTCGTCTTTCTCCTTCTCGGTTTTCTCTGCAGCGGACGTGTCTTTGGTGTCTCCTTGTTGGGTGTAAGGAGAGGCGTAGAGTGAGGTGAGGAAGGATTTGAGGGAGCGAAAGCAGGAGGAGAGGGCGGAGACGCAGCGATAGAGTATGGTGCAAAGGGTTTCACAGGAACAGGCCTGGGAAATGGAGAAAGGGCTGATTGAGAAAGGGATAAGACCTCCTCCCCCGCCCCTTGCTGCCGCAGCTTCGGCAGCTTCAGCCGCAGCAACCTGCCTCGCCCAGCTGGCGTCGAAGGCTAGGAAGTTAGCTTCGGCGCGGTCGCACGTCTGTAGGCTCGGCACGTCCTCCACAGCCACGGTCTTCTCCGAACCTGCCTCCAGGAACGGCGAGACCCATCCGAAGGTGAGAGCTGAGAGCCAATCAGCAGAGGCGTAGAGAGTCATAGGAGGCTCTTGCTGCTGCTTCTTCTGCTCCTGTTCCTCCTCCTCCTCTTCATCCTGCAACTGCTCTAAGTGTGACTGTCGTCGCTTATTCCCCTGCCCTGCTTCTTCTACTGACTCCTTCCCAGTTGGTCTTGAGAGATTCGATTTCCGATGCTGCTTCTTCTCCTTCCCTGCCACGTGGCTTTCTCTGATTGCCCCTCCACCAATCAGCAATGGAGTGCGCAGCCCATCCTCTATAGTTTCGACATCCGATGGCTGAGATTCTGCGCGGGACAGAGCCCATCCTGGCCGTCCATTCACAGCAAACGCCCCAAAAAGGAGAGCCACCGGGAGGGTAACCAGTGTCAGAAAATCGCTCCACACCCCAAAATTCCCCGAGTTTTTTCCAACAAGCACCCCTTCTCCAGCTGCCCCACCTGCTTCTGCCTTCAACCCTCCAGGCGAACCAAACCGTAACACCACACCAGCAGAGAGTAGCAGCACAGCACCCGCATTCGCAAACAGCCAAACCCTAGCAGAACCCACGAGCCTCTGGTCCCTCCGCTTGCCATACAGCAGTAACACTCGCAGCGCCAGTAACCAGGTTACCACCTGCCCGGCTGCATATGCAAGCTCATGCGGATACGCCCCGTGCTGCTTGCTACCAGCCGAATTCACAAGCATGAAGAGAAGCGCAGAAAGGATCAGCAGCGCCCAGGAGACTGAGAGGAGGAGGGAGAGGAAGAGAGAGAGCCAGTACCCGGGTCCTGCCTCCCAGTGAGACTCTGCCTCTGAGGTTTCTACCGCGTCAGCAGCACCTTCATCGTTAGACCCCGGTGGGCGGGAGGAGCGAGAGGGAGTAGCAGACGGGGCGAAGGGACGGGAAGCGGAGGAGGAAGAGGAGGAGGAAGGGCCGGGAGCAGAGGATGAAGAGGAGGGACCGGAAAAGGAGGAGGAGGAGGAGAGGCTGGGGTGTGCGTGTTTGGGTTTGGGGAGGATGAGGAGGTGAGAGAGGGTGCAGATGATGAAGAAGGCTGAGAAGAGCAGGAAGGACGCGTGCTGCAGGCACGGGGAGACTGGGAGGTAGAGCAGCCACGGAGGGAGGTACCCTGGGCTGGTTTCCTCTGCTGCTAGGCGCTCTATCTGGTTCCATGTGACTGTGGCAGGGGTGATGTTAGGGAGGGGGGAGGAGGAGGTCTGGAAGAGAGTGTTGTGGTGGGAGGGGAGGAGGAGGAGGCTGGGTGGGGTGGAGGAGAGAGGAGATGAGGGGGAGGAGAGGAGGGGGGTGGAGAGGCAGTGCCGGGAGTAGGGGTCGTGGGGCCCGCAGAAGGACGGCCAAACTGGATTCAGGAAAGGAGGGAGGGAGGGAGGGAGGGAGGGAGGGAGGGAGGGAGGGAGGGAGGGAGGGAGGGAGGGAGGGAGGGAGGGAGGGAGGGAGGTGAGGAACAAAATTAAAAGATTTTGTTAAAAAGGATGAAGTGAGAGCGAGCATATGTGTGTTGGGAGTAGGAGTCGTGCGTTCAAGTGACAATATCAATTGGCTGAAGAATACGACACATTAAATATAATTGAATAAAGAACTCACAGCTGGAAGAGAAGGAGGGACCGGAGGAGATGGTGTAGAGGAACGATGAGGCCATCATATGCGTTCCCGCCCTCAGGAAATCCATCTGATGGCAGGATTCGGGCAGCGGGTGTGACAATAGCAAATGGATTGGGGTGCTGCAGCAGGAAAAGAGAGCGGCGACGGAGAGGGAAGGAAGACGCGGTAAATTTGGGAACGTAGATCACAATGGAATTGGAGGAGGGAATAAGAAGGGGGAAGCGGTGAAGGAAATTCGAAGAGAAAGTCAGAAGAGGCTCGCGGAAAAGGGTTATACTTGGAATTTAAGAGATCTAAGATGACAAGAGACGAGATAACCTCGACGAACCTTGACAGGCTTCGCTTGAAGTATTTCCTAGTTTACAGTTGCAGAAAACAAATACCTTAAACTTCTAAATCCAGCTCAAGTGTCATCCTGTCATTCGCGTACTATTCCACTATGCATTCGCGTACTATTCTACTATGGATTCTCTCAGCTCCCCTATAAGCTTCCTACGAATCTGACTAACGACCCTCAGAAGTGATTTCCAGAACCTGTGAGACAATCTAGAAAGCTGAAAGGCTATTCGATATGCCCGATCTGACAGTGCTGACAATAACGAGTACCGCGAAGCGGAATTGTCGTAAGGGACCGATATTTCTGCGGTCGTTGACCAGGCGTCGCTGCCTCTCTAAGTCGTATAAAAATCACCCAGGTTCGTCCACATCCGCCGGATGTGAAAATCTGAGGTCCCAAAAGCTTCCCGCGGTACGCCTAGCTCTTCGCAATGTGTTCACTCTTTTATGTGGGAAGCAGGGGAACCAGCAGATTTCCTCCTTGCCTCGAACCCACGAACCCAAATTCATGCCTTACTTTTTTCTGATCAACCAATCAAGGGAGGAAAAACGGTTGGTGACCTTGCGCTCGCATCCGGATTCCGAATTAGTCTACAGAGCCGAGCCGCACGCTCTCTTCTCTCCACGCCTTCGCAATTGCATCTCGATTGTCATGCAGAAGCGCGAAGCCGAGAGAATAAGAGGCAGATTAAACCGTTGTATAGTGGCTTTACGCTGACGACAACTGCTTCCACACAACATGTCAGCTTGGTTTCGTTAGGGAGAAAAGGAATTCTCTAGGGGAGGTTGAGATGAGAAAGTAATGTTTCGGCGGAATGTGATACTAACGAAAGAAAGACCGCAACTCACCACCACCACACGAGTTATCTGGCCAATCACAATCGAGGGTCCCTTGGAATTGTCGCGGCCTATCAGCGGCTGTCAGTCAGCAGCAAGTGGGAGCTTTTTCCTGGCCGTTGGAGGCGGGCTCACAAATGGTAGCCACGTGGTTACCAGCCCGGTGCTTTTCCAAAATTGTTGGTGTTAAGCATACCCTATATTACGTCTACTCTTTATGACAAGTGTAGTATCTGGATAATCTTTAGGTTATGAATAGATTTCATACTGACAAATATAGTCTACTCCAGGGACGTGTATTGAAGTATTAATATTCATGTGAGAGAGATAAAATGACAGATATAATCACTCATGTCTTTGTCATAAACAGTAAGGATTCTAAACTTCAATGCTATATGGTTTGGTTATGACTGTAAGCTTTGTTTGTTTAGCGATTGTGCTGCATATCGAGGTATTCGAACCATTTTCAGCGAAATTCTTATCTTTCCGCTCTCTCGTGCCGCCTTGCGACCTGACATGCAGCAGAATTGTCATTCCCTCCCAAATTCTCCGCTCTCCACGCGGCACGCCTGCCTTTCAGAGAGTGTCTGTTCGTTTCATGTCAAGAAATGCTGCCGTTTACTTTAGTTCCCTTTTTTCTCCAGTCTAATTCGTGTCTGGCAACTTCTCTCCAGTCATCTCGCGACTTTCATTGGGTACAATGATGAGGACCATGGTGAACCTTTCGTTGAACACGACCTTCAGATTCAGGCATCTCCCAAATCCTTCGCCTTTCACGTTCTCATCGCACACATCTTGTATGTTGTGGTCGGCAACTCTTGCTTAGAGGCACAGAGATGTTACGGTTTCCACTCAATCGTGGAGGCAGAACTCTAGGGATTGTTGTGTGAATTAAGGATGTCGAATTCGCATCCGTTAAGGATGTCTATACCCCGTGAAGGGGGAACGCTGGGTGAGAAACTTTCCTCGTCAATGGTCCACAGAGCTCGAGTCACGTCTATTAACCATCTTCCCGACGAGCTTCTTTCCAGAATTATCTCACTTGCCGCCAACGCCGCCACCGCCACCGCCAACACCGCCGCAAAGTCTAACTTCACGGATGTCCCCGATTTTAGCAACCTCGCGGTGGTGTGTAAGCGATGGATGTTTATGATGACGACCCTCCGCGTCCATGGTGGTTTTCAGTCCGACTCCCCCGAACTCCGCGGGAGAGAGAAGCTCGCGATGGCGCTTTCCGCCCCCACGATCTCCGCGCCCGCGCTCTTCCGCACGCTGGCGCTCGCGCCGAGCGTCACGGCGCTTTCTCTGGAATCCTACGCCGTTGATTTCTACGACCACGCGTTCCTGTCTAGCCTGCTTTCCGCGCGTCCTCAACTCGCCCGCCTGAGCATCGGCCTTCCCCGCTTCACCGGAACGCCCCACTTTCGAATCGGCACCAAGGCTGTCGAGAATTTCTTCCGCCTCGCGTCGTCGCGCCTGCAGGAGCTCTCGCTGCGCGAGTGTCTCGGTCACACGACGAAGCTCCCTGCCTCCGTCGCGTCGCTGTCGTCGCTGCGCGTGTTCCGCCTGTGCTCCAAGGTTCTGCGCTCGCTGCCCGACGAGATCTGCCAGCTGTCTGCCCTGCAGGAACTTTATCTAAACTGCCCGTTGCTGCAGCAGCTGCCCGAACGTTTTGGCCTGCTAACGAGCCTGGAGCACCTTTCGTTTACGGGCTGCAAAGAAATGCGGCGCCTGCCGGATTCGCTCGGCGATCTCTCGTCGCTCACCTCTCTCCACATCGACGGCGCGTGGCAGGTGGATCGCCTCCCGCCTCGCATCGGCGCGCTGCAGCAGATGCGGCGACTGGACCTGCGGAATTTCCGAGGCGGGTTACCAGAGGCATGCGAAAAATGGGCGAAACTCGAGCAGGTCACTCTGGCTTCGTGCGCCGACATGCGCGGTTTCCATCTCGCGTCCGTGCACTCGCTCACGCATCTCACCATCGCCGCCTGTTTGAAACTCCAGTCGCTTCCACACATCCTGCTCTTCGCAACGGCACTGCGTCATCTAACGCTCGATTATCTCGATTTCGACGTGTCCCTCGAGGCGCTAAGCGGGCTGGTATCTTTGGAGCGGCTGCAGGTCTCCAGCGTGGATCGCGAGGAGCGCTTTCCCGAGGCGCTCTTTGCGCTGCCGTCCCTGGCGCACGTGAAATTGGGCTACGTCGGGTGGCTCGAACCGCGCGACGTGACGGGTGTGGAGCACGCGAGGGGGGTCGCAGCGCTCCTGGGATACATCGCTCGGCCCGAAGACATAGCCGCCGCCGATTTAGCAGCAACAGCCGCAGCAGCAGCAGGTGCGGCCGGTGATACCGCCTTCCACACGGCATTCGGCCCGTCTCTGAAGCATCTTAGTATCTACTTGGACACCTCGCTTCCAGAGATGCAAGGGTACGGCAGGAGAGGCTGCACGCTTTCCTCGCGTCTCTGCTCACTGTCCTCCCTCACGCACCTCTTCATCGAGTGCCTCTCCCCCTCTGTCACACTCCCCTCCGACCTCGGCTGTCTGCTCAACCTGCGCTCGCTCTCCCTCTATGGCACCTCTCTCTGCCTGCCACACTCCCTCTCCTGCCTCGCCCCGTGCTTGCACTCGCTCAAACTGCACTACAGCGGCTACAGCGACGAGTATTGCAGCCCAACGGTCGGTGTTTGGCCAAGATACTTGGCCACCCTCATTCCAGCTGCTACCTGCTCCTCATTAGGGCATTGCACAACCCTAGCCAGCTGCCCGGTAGCAAACGCGACGTCCGGTCGGGTGTTTACCGCCGCATACATGAGGCTGCCCACCAACGAGTGAAATCGGCGCCTCTCCTCTTCACCAACGCTCTCCTCCTCTGGTCCCTTCACACACTTGAACCCAGAGGGAAAGGGTGTAGCCACATGGCCTTCACTCTGCCCAAAGTTGGCAGCCAATGCCTCCAGGTACTTTCGTTGATGCACCCGCATGCACCGCTTCTCCACATCTCGTTCGATGTGGAGCCCAAGGTAGAAGCTCACGTCACCAAGGGCCTTGCACTTGAACTTGTCTTGAAGCTTCAGCATCACCTCCTTCACAAGGTCAGAAGAGGGTGAGAAAATGAGGATGTCATCCACATAAACCACCATGAAACTCCTCTGCTCCCCCTCGCCAAGCATGAACAAGGAGTGATCGGCCGTTGAGGGAGTGAAGCCGATCCCCTCCAACACTTCGCGCAGCTTCATGTACCATTGCCTAGGGGCCTGCTTCAGCCCATAGAGGGCCTTCTTCAGCTTCCACACTCTGCCACTACCATCATCAAACCCCTCTGGCTGCGCCATAAAAATCTCCTCCTCAAGGATGCCGTTAAGGAATGCCGTTACGATGTCCATTTGCTTTACTACCCATCCTTTGATGGCGGCTCCCGCGAATAGGGTTCGCAGCGTCGTCGGCTTCACCACAGGGGCAAACAGCTCCTTGAAGTCCACCTTCTCCTTCTGCTGGTACCCCTTGGCTACAAGCCTAGACTTGTAGCGCTCGATCTTGCCGTCGGCATCCGACTTGATTTTGAAGAGCCACTTGGACGTTATCGCCGTACGCCCCTCCGGTAGCTCCACCAATTCAAACGTGTCATTCTCCTCGATGCTCTTCAGCTCACTCTCCATGGCCTTCTTCCACTCCTCAGCATCACTACTCTCCAAAGCCTCCTTGAGAGTTGCTGGTTCTCCCGGCATCTCCACCGGAGAGAAGAACGCGAAGGCACACTCCTCGTAGTCACTCTCCTCGTCGTCTCCGACCATCATTGCCGCTCCGGCCAGGGCTGTCTTGCCCTGCTTTCCCGGCGCATCATAGGTCAGCCTATTAGGGGGTTGA